GCTCCCAGACAAAAAAAAGACTAATGGATAGAATATATTTTTTATCTCTTACTTGGAGTAGTCAAAGGTGCCTGCTGGTGGCTCCTTGCGGATCTCCTCGTACTCCTGATAGATCCCCTTCTTCTTCTTCCTCTTCACGTGCTCCACCAGGTCATGCACTGTCATGCCTCCCTGCTCTGGCATGTGAACAGACACCTCCATGCAGCGGCCCTCATCGTCAGGATCCCATGATGAAGACAGGGGCGGGGACTGGGAGGAAGGATGGTGAGGGGGGCGAGGCAAAGATTTCTGGGGCAATGGAGGCACCCCTTCCTCCTCCTCCTCCTCCTCCTCCTCCTCCTCCTCCCCATCCTCCTCCTCCTCCTCCTTTACACCCTCATTCTGAGACCTATGGGCGGAGTCTGTTGCCTTGCCGTCCACTTCATCCCCATCACCTTTCTGGGAAAGCGGTGTGTCAGGCGGCGTGTCTGACTGGGGAGGGGCTTGGCGGCCGCGACCGTTCATGTTAGCATTGGGGCTAGAGCCGCTAACGGCCATGTTGGCCCCGCTCACTGCTGAGCCATTCCAGTGTTGGTGGTTGCCCTGCGGCCTGTTTGCAGCAGACTGCGGACTCTGCTGGTACTGTCCTAGGCCTCGAGTCCTGCCCTCCCCCACACCGCAGTGGTTGTGTGGATTAGCATTGCTATCATCGTAGCAGTTAGAGTTTGCCACGGCTAGCTCAGACCCTAACTGTGTGTTTATATGGGTGTGGGACAGTGTAGCGCCTGCGCTTGTGTTGCTGCACTCTAAGCTGTAGGAGCGCAGCAGGCTTCCCACACAGTCATGTGTGTCATGTTCTTGTGTGTCACCCTGAACAGTGTTTGTGTGCATGTTAACACAGGACTGGATCCAAGCCACGTGGCTATACTGGGATGTCCCACCCAGGTGTTCGGGGAGGGAGGAGACTGGGATGTGACTGGCCAACTCGTGAGCTTTCACTGTGCACACCTGGTGAATGGAGAAGAAAGGAAACATGTTTCAAATGATGAATGACAATAAAAAACATCTTACACACTACGACACAAATTTCAAAATGTAAACAGACATACCCTTTCTCTTAGCTTCTCGCGTACAAATAGGCGGAGAACCGCGAAAGGTGCCCGAAACCAAAGAGGTGACGACACAATGAAGACACATTTTAGGCGAGCCGGAAATGCCCCCTAAGAAACAAACATCAGATGAAATGATGAAAAGGGTTTTTAATTTCAAGAGACAATTTTGGCAGCGAAAACTTTTAGGCAGGCAAATCAGAGAGCAGCTTATTCCTTATATTCACCTTGAGCAAATTGAGGATCTTGACACAGAGCTCATAGTCAAAATTGCCATAGCTGGAGTTGGTCATGTCGTAGATAAATATGAGTCCGTCTCTTTGAGTTTGTAAACTGGGGAGATAGGAACAAGATTTTCAAATTAAAAGCAGAGGTGGAGGGTCAAAAGAAGCTTACCATAAGAAATGCATATCATTTTATAAAATACCTGGGGACCTGATCCTACTAACTACAACAAAAGATAAATTGTATGTATAAAGGGTTGAGGCATCACCTCTCTATGGCTTTGTCCAGCTGATAGATGATGGCCTGCAGCACGGCTTTGTGGGTAGTGACGTCTGGCCGATGGAGACGAGCAGTGAAGAGTGCCAAAGCAGCGCCCTTTGCATCTCGGCCAGGCTGGTAGGAATATGAACATGTTGTTATAAGCATCAATGCGAATTCATGTGATTTGTGAGAAAGGGCAGCTATAAATTCTGATTATGAGCATAGACATTTGCAGATGATCCATCCATATATATATATATATATATGGGTCAAGTATATAAACTGAATGAAAAACAAAACTTTACTCAATCTCCATTCATAAAGACACACAAATACAAGCATAAATGTGCATATTGACATGTACACACACAATAAACTCTTCTTTAATGACCAGCATGTGCTGGTCATCCTGGTGTCTTATTGTGAAACTGTGAATCAGCTGCAGTGACTTTGTGAAATTGAATTGCTTCATCACTCACCAGGACTGTAAATTTGCCACTCAGCAGCTCGGAGCGCAGGGGCTCCTCGTCAGGGTTGATATTGATGATGCCCTCTTTGATTCTTGTGTTCTAATTTTGACACATGATGGTAGAGAGAGGAGAGAAGGGGGTAGGTTGTCATTAGTGTAGGTTGAAGCTAAAATGGTATGCAAACAAACTGATAAAAAAAAAACGTATTAACTTGAATTTGGTTGTCCCATGTTAGTCTTAGTATCAAAAGACCTGTCAATCAATTTGGAGCAAGACATTCAAATCCTGTGATATGAATGTCAGTTTTGATTTTCTCATGGATGGATGCCTCTAAGGTTCATGTTATTTTGACCCACCTACATATAGCAACAGTGTTCCCTCATAAATCTCAGCCCTTGTCTGGACACAGTATTAATAAAATATAAAACAAATAGACTCACAAATGTAGTGTTTGTTGCTTTTGTTGTGTTGGTTTTCATTAGATTTTATAGGTGTTCATGATATTGTGCCCATCTCTTGTATGGGTCTGCCAGAGACCTCAGTGGACTCATTTTATCACTGACAGCACATCATGCTGCAATTCCTTTCTGAATAAGAGCATCATTATTTAGATCTGAGTAACAGGTTATGGCCTGTTATAATAAGACATTTCTTATGACTGCTGCAGTGGAGAGCTGTCAACATATCAATAATGGTCATCAGCCAGATATAAGCAGACAATCTAACTCTTAACGCCATTTCTTGTATTAAATATTTAGTAATGTTGTGCGTCACACGTGTAATATCATATTGATTGTGAATTGAACTTAATTTTCTACAGAAAACTGGCTGATACTTAGAAGTTAGTCCAACTGCATCCAATAATCTTCAAAGTTTCAGGTTTATAGTATATCATTATTATTATTCAGAGGATCAGATCAGACAATTTGCAGTTATATACATCTTCCTCAGATCCTTTAGCCCTAATTAACCCTGTAGTGTCCTGTTGATAGTAGATAAATATTCATCTCAGTGTGGCCACCAATCAAAGCACTGCTGTACCTTGTATGCTTGGAAGAGTTCGATGGCTCTGGAGACGTCAAACTTGCGGGCCATAAGAAACTTTACAGCTGTAGGTTGGGACACGAGCCCAGCACTGTGAGGCTGCTCCCTGCTACGCACCTCACCCAGGAACTCCTCCACAGCCTGGACAAACATGAGAGAGGAGATGGAAGAAAAAGAGGTGAGGTGTTGGTGTGTGATGTGAGATCAAAGCAGAAAACAAAATTGGATTTGGACAGAAGGGGAATAACCAAAACGGGTAAAAATACATCAAAAGCTTGGAGTGTAGGGAGTAGAGAAATAGGAAAGAAAGACAGAGAGAAGATCGGGATGACAACAGTCTGTCAGCCCCTTCAGCTTTGTCGTTCTTTCCCTGCCGAAGTCACAATAATACGCAATACAGATGGCAGCAGCAGGCTGCGCCCCTAGAAGATGCCGTGGATGAGAGCGCTCATACGCCAGGAGACAACAGTCAGCTTGTTTTCACCCAAGTGAGCTGCATCTGTCCTCCAAATATGTAAACAGCACAAGGAGAGTCTATGAATGGGTACAACGGATTAACTCATCCGCTATATACAAAACTTGAATCTACTCTCTCATGGGACAAAGAAGAAGAATGCAGATGTCAAGTGAAAACCTAATCCAAGCACACTGAATTGTTTGGCAGACGTGGTAAGCCTTCCAGACCTTGATGCAACTTGTCTCATGATCATTTTTGTTATTACATGATGGACTAAAATATACAAACTCAGATTATATGGCATTAGCTGTAATAAATAGCAAATAGTACCTCTACTCAGTTTTTACCTAAATGTTAATATTTAATTTAATAAAAGATAGATACTAGTTATTTATTGACCACAGTGGGAAAAGTATATTAATTTTTATGATGCCAGCAGGTGGGTGGTCTTTATTGGCAGCGATATGGCTCACCACAGCATTAACCCTATCATACATGCGTGGTATCATGTCATCAGCACAATGACGAGCCTACACAGAAATCTATATTTGTCACACTTTGATCAAGACGTGGAAGATTTGTGATTCTCGGACTATGACGTCTGAACTCCGTCCCAAGAATGTACTGAGCACAAAGCTGTGGCTGGACACATACTGAAGTTGCAAAGAGAAGACCCTAACCAACACCTGGTCCTGGCATATCAGTCGAGACAAGAAGCAAGGGATCAAACCAGACACATTTAATACCCTTGACACCCCTCAAGTTGGCACTCAGTCACTGGTAATATATTTTTATACTACTTAATAGTCTTTTTAAACTAGTAATATGTGGTTTGAAGGTACCCTTTCTTACATGTTTCCCCCTAAATCAATGCTGATGCTGCCTAGCCATGTTTGTAAATGTGAAACTGTAAGTTAGGGATACAATGTTTGGATTTGGGGCACTGTAACAAAATCAGGGAGGGCACCTTTTGGATATACTGTATGTTAACACTGAACATCAGCACCAGGATGGTTGTTAGCCTTAAATCCAAGCGAGCTAAAACTACAAACATTCAGTCCAGCAAGTGTCCTCAAGGCAGTAAATCGATTGACGTTCACTGGATCTGGAAAAAAATGATGTTAGCAATCACGAAACACATCGGCACTGATCAGTTAACCTTGTGAATGCTCGATGGAAAATAAAATAAAAGAAGAAACACGTTGGCTATAAAATGAGAGCTGTCATCAGAATAGCTGGGTGACATTTAATGTTGGCCATGAATGTCAGGCCCACCCCATTTACTAGAAAGTGAAGGCAACAACAATGCTAGGAAACGGAGGATCACTTCTGTGAATTCTCGACCGTAAATCTGATAGGCAGGACACTGCGAGCTAGTTGGGCTCACAGCAAACATGATCTTGATCTGTCTCAACTGTGTCATGGTGCAAAATGACACCCAACACCCAAAGCAATCAGTGTTTGGTCATTTCTAAACTTCACACTTGGCCCAACGTGATTTTTAACGTCTGGCAAGATAGCTGTCGAGGAAATTCCCTGCCAGTCAACAATAGCTATTAGCATTAGCCAGCGGCTAGGTTACATGTGGCAGCTGGATGGCTAACGGTAACGTTAAAGACCCTAGCAGCCACACACATGATGGAAACCATAGGCAACGAAGCGTCGCTAGGTATTATACGCGATATGAGGATATCTACGTAGTCCAGGTAAAGCTGGGTTATAAAGGGAGCGAGTATTAGAGACACACAGCCGGGTATGTGATCCCTACTACTTCTACTACTACTACTACTACTACTACTAGTAGTAGTAGTAGTAGTAGAAGTAGTAGCCAACGCCATCATGCTAACACACATGCTAACTGCTGTCAGTCACACCGGAGCCAGGAGGGTGCGAGCGGGCCAGGGCTGTTTACAAGACCGCGGCGTTCCCGGGGACAACCTCGGTCACAAAATATATGGGGAAAAATCCCCGGTTACAGGAGAAACCTACGGCGACGTGTGCACACACTGAACGCGATGCAGAGATGAGGAAAAAACCCCGTAAAGAGACCCTTACCAGCTGCTCCTGAGTTGTCAGGGCTTCCGCCATCTTGAAGCCTCCGCAACGTCGCAGCGGGCGCGCCCACCAGCCGCTCGCTCCCGCCCTACACCCCGACGTAGACCCCGACGCAGACCCCGACGTAGACCCCGACGCAGACCCCGACGTAGACCCCGACGCAGACCCAGACCCAGGCCCCGCCCATCCGCACTCACTCCACCACACACGGGTCAAAGTCTGGATTTATCAATGCACTTTGGCACTTCATTATCTCTGCTCGTTCATACGCGTTAGTATTCATAATTCATGTGAATAGTTTACTAGTGAGAGTGAGATTCAAATCTGTGTTTTATTAAGTCTACATGGTGACAGTAGCTTAATCCATACAGTTTACCACACACAGTTCATGTACTCTTTTATCCATGCTGTCTGTTTTTAACCTTTTACAGTTTATAATCTGTAGATATAATATAAAGTTTATTGCCAATTTACAATAAAATACAACCTTTATTCACCTCATTAACACACAGAGCATCTAGAAAATGTTTATCACTCGTTTATTTAACCATAAACAATTAATTAAGAAACATTTTATTCACCCAAACATTTAATAGAAGGCCAGTCTATTTAGTATTATTGATATTAGTATTACTCATGGTAGTAGTAGTAACTGTAGTGTATGGGAACTTTAGTTCGGACATTTGTTCCGTCGGACTGTTTTTTGTGGAGCACCGGGGCGGCACTCCGGCGGCTTTTTTGATTTCAGATCAGCTGAGCGCCGGTCGACAGACAGAAAATGTTTACACTTAGCAACCGAAATAGTTAAATGTAAGGCGACGCTTGTTTTCGTGTGTCTGCCTCCGTTGATACACATTGTTAGAGACAGTTTATAAACTCAAACTGATGTCATGTTAATTAACATCCACCTACTACAGCGTTTGTCAAAAACAACCCAACTTCTCCTTCAGCATGAGCAACTCGGGTCCTCCACTGAAGAGGAAAAGCTACATGGGACAGCACCAGATCAAGAAGAAACAAGGGTAAGTTCACGTTGATCATTTATAATCTTGGCCGATTTAGAAGAATTATGACAAGACTCCTCCTGTTGCCTAGAGACATCTTGCCATCTTTGTGACATTTCTCTCGAGGAACATCAGTCTCTCACCTCTGATGAACATACATTTCTCTGAGCACAGCTTCCAAACTCCTGATGAGCCTCCGGACGGAGACAGACCGCTGCAGAAAACCCGTTATCTGTCAGGCAAAACAACCAGATCAGAGGACATGGTGAGCCAAAGAGAGGTTTGTCTTTGTCTTCTGTGCTTCTCTTGTCTCACAGACGACACATGACATGTATCCTTCCCCATCGTTAGGGTGGAGGAGCAGCGTTCCCACTGGGAGAATCCACATTGGCCCTTGATGAAGAGATGCTGCAGGTGTTGGACGCTGTAGACGCCATGAAGCCTGCATCTGCCGGTTCTTGTGCAACAGCAGCAAACAGAGATCCACAGTCAGCGCCAGCATCCTCAGCTCTCTTTGCCTCGTCACGGGCTCTTGCGCCAGTTGCCGACAACAAGAGGGAGAGTGACCGAGCACCTCAGCACGCAGGGCAGGGACCCCACAGGGCCCCCAGCACCCAGGAGAGAGTCTGTGGGCGTAATGGTGATTGTGAGAGACCAGGATGGAGAGCTGACTGCAAAGACCTTGCTCAGAGGCTTCTCTTCAGTGAGGGCTTGGAGGAAGCGGAGCACGCTCAGAGGGGTCCAGAGATCAATGGGCCATCCTGTCAGGAAATAAAAAACAGTCAGCGAGTAGGCAGATCCACCAAGTGAGTCTTTTAACACGTTATTGTCCAGTTTTTCTTTTTGTTTCGATTATCTGCCTCTTGTGCTTAAACAACACAAATCTTACTTTGTGTGTTTCAGTAGGAAGAAACTTACATCCATCAAAGACAAAAGTGGGTCAAACATGAATGCTGACCCACCTCTGGATGTATCCAGGGAATACATCTTGTTCAGCCCCACCCGCCTCGCTGCAGCCATGAAGGCCAAACTGCAGCAGTCACTACAGAATCAATCCGCCTCCGTGCTCACAGTCCCCAGTGGTTTAGACATCAGCACTCTGACTGACACTTTACCTCAGCCAGGTGAAGTCATCTGTAATTTGTTCCTCTGTGTTTGACTTTTTTTTGAACATGTGACACCTTGTCATGGCTGGATTAACCTGCTTGGGTGCCCCGGGGGAAAAAGTTGAGCTGCAGGGCCCCTATTAATTCCCCCTTTTCTCACACTCACAGTCACTAACTACAAATACTGGGGTGTACAAATATTGTTTGGTAATTTAGGAATTTCCAACATGTGAGCATAAAACTGAAATAATAAAGATCTTAATATTAGATTTAATACAAGAACCTTCTTCAGGACAGGGGTTCAAGATCAAGAAATAATAAGAATAAGACTCACCTCTTGTCAGTTTATATTGTACTTTAGTGGTGTTTCCACTTCTCAAGGACATGAGACTATTTACACTGTTGAACTACAAGGCAATATTCAAAGTGCTTTACATAAGACATAAAAAGAATAAAAGAAAATGGATTAAATTAAGCTAAATGTGAATAAAAGAAAATAAACAGAAAACTAAATATTACAGTGCAAGATATAAATGAACAGTCTCAAATTTGACCTAATGAACGGGAGTGGTACAGGCCAGTGACCACACAGTAAACCCGAATTACATTTATATCTGAGATTAGATTGTGTCTCCGGTGTACGCCCTGAAATAAGATTTAACTTTAAGCCATGTAAAGTCCACTTGTCACATGACTCCTGCCCCCAGTTAGATATAATACCAACTGTAAAAGGAGTATTTTATTTGTGCCCTACTGTAGGCATTGCCTTGCACGCTCCCACGGGGCAAAATGAGAAGCTGCTGTTATCCAGTTGGGGCTTACCAAAACCTGTCCTGGAGCGCTACCTGAAACACGGAGTGACTCACATGTTTGAATGGCAGGCTCAGTGTCTCACTGTTGGACAGGTGCTGCAGGGAGGTAACCTGGTGTACTCAGGTAAGACACTGAACGTCTCTCTCCGAAGTGATTCAATGAGTCAGCCACTGTTAGGTCATTCTCAGAGTTATATTCCTTCTTTTTCAGCCCCAACTAGTGCTGGAAAGACTCTGGTGTCAGAGCTGCTGATGCTGAAGCGTGTGTTGGAGACTAAAAGAAAAGCTCTCTTTATTTTGCCGTTTGTCTCGGTGGCCAAAGAGAAGATGCACTACCTTCAGGTGTTACACAGATAAGATAAGATGTTCCTTTATTGATCCCCCTTAGGAGAAATTCAAAAGGGGGATCAATAAAGGAACATCTAGATGTTGTTACAGACATTGTGTTGTTTGTATTAATCTCCATCTAACAGGTTTAAATCTCTGACATTGTAGAGTGTATTTGAAGAGGCAGGAGTTCGGGTGGAGGGATATATGGGCAGCACCTCGGCTGCCGGAGGGTTCACAGCACTGGATGTGGCTGTTTGCACCATTGAGAAAGCCAATTCTCTTATTAACAGACTGATTGAAGAGGACGGCATGGGTCTACTGGGTAATACACCAGTGATAATTGGGTGTTTCCTTGAGTTTAAAACATGTATGAGTATGAGTTTTAAGCTGTGTTGTTTTTGTAATCCTACCAGGTATGGTGGTGGTGGATGAGTTACATATGGTTGGAGACTCTGGAAGAGGATACCTACTAGAACTGCTCTTAACCAAAATCCGCTACATTGCACAGAAGCAGAACACCACTGGGTTTGTGTCTGTCTACCTTGTAACGGCAAAAGTGTTAAAACTTCCTGTTTTTCTGCTACATGTGTTAATCAGCACAACTCTGTCTGCAGGTCTCTCTCTGAGGGTGTACAGATCATAGGTATGAGCGCCACCTTGCCTAACCTCTCCCTCCTGGCTAAGTGGTTAGGTGCAGAGCTTTACCAGACAGACTACAGACCTGTACCCCTGCAGGAGCATCTCAAGGTGGGCTGCAGCATCTACGACAAGAGCCTCTCTGTGGTCCGACAGTTCACTCCTGCGCTCAGCATTAAGGTAAGGAGAGTAAAAGAGTGTAGATATTATCCAATGTGTGTGTTATTGTGAATGATCTCAAGAGCAGCAATGTAATAATGAGCTGTGTGTGTGTATGAATCTGCACTTTAATAAAGGGTGATGATGACCACATTGTGAGCTTGTGCTATGAGACCGTGAGAGAGGGCCGCTCTGTGTTGCTCTTCTGCCCCTCAAAGAACTGGTGTGAGAAACTGGCAGACAGCATCGCCAGAGAGTTCTACAACCTCAGACATGCAGGTACTTTGGAAATTACATGTCATCTCGAAATCATTTACTTTTTCTGCGTATGGTATTTTATAGTGAAGTCCAACTGTAGCTTATCCTTTCAGGTCACCAGGATGAAGCAGAGCCTCAGCCAGTGAGTCTGGATCAGGAGGGACTAGTGGATGTTGTAGCCCAGTTGAGGCGAACTCCGGCCGGTTTAGACCCCATTCTCCACCGGACTGTGCCATGGGGGGTGGCCTTCCACCACGCTGGTGAACACACTCACACCACTTCTTAACCACAACAAACTGCAGGCTGTTCAAATGGTTCAGTTTTGAGTTTTGAGTGTATGAATAAGATAAACTTTGTCTCTGTAGGTTTGACCTTTGATGAGCGTGATGTCTTGGAGGGAGCTTTTCGTCAGAGCACGGTCCGAGTCCTGGCAGCCACCTCTACTCTCTCCTCAGGGGTTAATCTGCCAGCTCGCAGGGTCATCATTCGAACCCCCACATTCAACGGGCACTTGTTGGACCCGCTCACATACAAACAGATGGCTGGACGAGCAGGGAGAAAAGGAGTAGACACTATAGGTATGAAAAGTGAAAAGGAAAAAAGCTGGATTATCAGTTAAAAAAAGATATTCACAACATCTTCGGGTCTCATGTCCTTTTGTTCATCCTCTTTCAGGTGAGAGTGTGCTGGTGTGTAAAGAGGCAGAGCGTCAGAAAGGTATTAGTCTCCTCAAGGGTGCTCTTCAGCCAATCAGCAGCTGCCTGGTGAGAAGGGAGGGAGAAGGTGTCACCACCAGTATGCTGCGAGCCATCCTAGAGGTATGGCTGTAAATAGATCACTGTACCATTGGCCCTGTGTTAACCTACATATAACCAACATAACTGAACTCAACTAATTGTTTTATGTCCCTAATTTGAATCATCCCAACGTGCAGATCATCGTTGGAGGTGTAGCCAGCACTCCACAGGATGTGACGTTATATGCTTCGTGCTCACTGCTGGCTGCCAGTGTGAAATTTGAAGGCAAAAAAGGTTCAGGTGAAGAAACCAACAAAGGAACTATTGAGGCCTGTGTTGAATGGCTGATGGACAGTGAATTTATCAGCATCCAGAAGGACGGACAAGGTACTGCCACTTTTATATTTCGACATATGATGAACTTTATTAACTTTTTGTAACAAACTGAACCATTGTTACAAAAATGTTAGTACTTAAATCAGATGGGAATTAGTTTTGCGGAATAATGCAAGCATTTTCTGTATTTATGCATCATGTTTCACTTTATTATTATCACATCATATAAGTAACACCTTTACCACCTTTCCCATTACGACAATCTGTCTTTGCATATCCAGAGGAGCGGTACTGTCCGACTCAACTTGGTGCTGCCACCCTTTCCTCCTCGCTCTCCCCTCCCGAGGCTGTGGGAGTATTTGCAGATCTCCAGCGGGCCATGAAGGGTTTTGTACTGGAAAATGACTTGCACATTCTGTATCTGGTACACATACACATATCTTGTCTTATTACTGTGCTTAATAGGTGTCTGCCAACTTGATTCACTTCCTATCATCCCTTAACCCCTCACCAATACTAAAGCTTAACTCTAGCTCCAAGTTTCCTTTGAACATAAACGGCCGCCATAGTCCTCTAAAGCACTGTAATTAAAGTTCTATGTCCAAATTGTCCTCAGATCACCCCTTTGTACGCAGAGTGGACAACCATTGATTGGTATCAGTTCTTCTGTCTGTGGGAACAGCTCTCGTCGTCGATGAAGAGAGTAGCAGAGCTGGTTGGCGTCCAGGAAGGTTTTCTTGCACGATCTGTGAGCGGCAAACTTGTCGCCAAGACAGAGAAGCAGCGTAGACAGATGGCGATTCATAAACGGTAATGCACATATTTATGTTAATTACACAAATTATATGTACAGTGGGTACGGAAAGTATTCAGACCCCTTTAAAATTTTCACTCTTTGTTTCATTGCAGCCATTTGCTAAAATCAAAAAAGTTCATTTTATTTCTCATTAATGTACACCCCATCTTGACAGAAAAAAACAGAAATGTAGAAATCTTTGCAAATTTATTAAAAAAGAAAAACTGAAATATCACATGGTCATAAGTATTCAGACCCTTTGCTCAGTATTGAGTAGAAGCACCCTTTTGAGCTAGTACAGCCATGAGTCTTCTTGGGAATGATGCAACAAGTTTTTCACACCTGGATTTGGGGATCCTCTGCCATTCTTCCTTGCAGATCCTTTCCAGTTCTGTCAGGTTGGATGGTGAACGTTGGTGGACAGCCATTTTCAGGTCTCTCCAGAGATGCTCAATTGGGTTTAGGTCAGGGCTCTGGCTGGGCCAGTCAAGAATGGTCACAGAGTTTTTCCGAAGCCACTCCTTTGTTATTTTAGCTGTGTGCTTAGGGTTATTGTCTTGTTGGAAGGTGAACCTTCGGCCCAGTCTGAGGTCCTGAGCACTCTGGAAGAGGTTTTCTTCCAGGATATCTCTGTACTTGGCCGCATTCATCTTTCCTTCAATTGCAACCAGTCGTCCTGTCCCTGCAGCTGAAAAACATCCCCATAGCCTGATGCTGCCACCACCATGTTTCACTGTTGGGATTGTATTGGGCAGGTGATGAGCAGTGCCTGGTTTTCTCCACACATACCGCTTAGAATTAACGCCAAAAAGTTCAATCTTGGTCTCATCAGACCAGAGAATCTTATTTCTCATAGTCTGGGAGTCCTTCATGTGTTTTTTGGCAAACTCTATGCGGGCTTTCATATGTCTTGCACTGAGGAGAGGCTTCCGTCGGGCCACTCTGCCATAAAGCCCCGACTGGTGGAGGGCTGCAGTGATAGTTGACTTTGTGGAACTTTCTCCCAGCTCCCTACTGCATCTCTGGAGCTCAGCCACAGTGATCTTTGGGTTCTTCTTTACCTCTCTCACCAAATCTCTTCTCCCACGATTGCTCAGTTTGGCTGGACGGCCAGGTCTAGGAAGAGTTCTGGTCGTCCCAAACTTCTTCCATTTAAGGATTATGGAGGCCACTGTGCTCTTAGGAACCTTGAGTGCTGCAGAAATTCTTTTGTAACCTTGGCCAGATCTGTGCCTTGCCACAATTCTGTCTCTGAGCTCCTTGGGCAGTTCCTTCAACCTCATGATTCTCATTTGCTCTGACATGCACTGTAAGGTCTTATGTAGACAGGTGTGTGCCTTTTCCTAATCAAGTCCAATCAGTTTAATTAAACACAGCTAGACTCCAATGAAGGAGCAGGACCATCTCAAGGAGGATCAGAAGAAATGGACAGCATGTGAGTAAAATATGAGTGTCACAGCAAAGGGTCTGAATACTTATGACCATGTGATATTTCAGTTTTTCTTTTTTAATAAATTTGCAGAAATTTCTACATTTCTGTTTTTTTCTGTCAAGATGGGGTGCTGAGTGTACATTAATGAGAAATAAAATGAACTTTTTTGATTTTAGCAAATGGCTGCAATGAAACAAAGAGTGAAAATTTTAAAGGGGTCTGAATACTTTCCGTACCCACTGTATATAACAGTATTAGCTAATAGTTGCCTCATGTGGTTTTCTGTTGCTGAACCAAAAAGTAGTTGGCAGTTCACAAAGGAACAGAAAATATGACAATTATAATATAAACAGATCTATATAAGGGGGAGTTTATTACAGTTTATTTGTTTCAGAAATGTTTAGATCACGTGGGACTTTTGTCTTTTACAGTTTCTCTTTGTTATCTCTTAACAGGTTTTTCACCACCCTCGTGCTACAGGATCTGGTGAATGAGGTGCCTTTGGGAACAGTGGCGTCCAAATACAACTGCAATCGTGGGCAGTTACAGTCTCTCCAGCAGTCTGCTTCTTCATATGCAGGTACGTGACATGTTACATTTTACAAGAAAACAACACATAAGAAATTCAATGACTCTAGATCATATGCTCAGTTGTGCGGCTGACAGAAACACTCTGCATTCCCTTCAGGTATGGTAACAGTGTTCTGCAAGCGTCTGGGCTGGCACAACATGGAGCTGCTGTTGTCCCAGTACCAGACCAGGCTGAGCTTTGGAGTCCAGAGGGAGCTGGTCGACCTTGTCAGGGTCTCCCTCCTGAATGCAACACGAGCCCGAACACTGTATGCACAAGGCCTATGTACTGTTGCTGAACTAGCCAGGGCCACTGTAGCTGATGTGGAGAAAGCCCTCAGAAACGCTGTCCCATTTAAGAGGTAGGTGTGTGTGTGTTCTATTAAGATATACATGCATATTAAGTGAATGAGGATATGGGCAGTAGCTCAGTCAGTAGGAACTTCGCTTGGTAACTGGAGGGTTGTCGGTTTCAAGTCCAGCACAGACCACAGTATAGAGTAGGGTGCTGCTACATGGCAGCCCTTGACTCCACCATCTCTCCACATTTGCTTGTCTATATGAGTTGGACTTTCAAGATTGTAAACTTGGATAACAACCAAACTGATGGATCCTGATGTACTGAAGTTTACACCACTACCATTAAAGGGGAGTTAGGGGCATTACTATCAAAAATCTGAACAAATGAAATGAAAAGAGTAAATGCCTGCATATTAAACCAAAACCACAAATATATTTAAATGAACAATATATGTATACACCATGTGGATAACTATCCAACCCACAAAGGGAATTAACAATTCAACAAGTAAACAATGAAAACTTTGAAGAGTGTGAGTACGGAGACAATAATACATTAAATATATCAACGATATCAAAAATAGTTGTTGTAGACATTGTTGCACAGACAATGTTGAATACATTTTAAAAAAGTCAAGAAGATAGCATATACATTCCTGTAAGCCCCTCCTAAACCCTAAGCTTGCATATAATGCATGCAACTGTAGCATTAAGCTTTCATCTCCCTGAAACATGAGTTTATATATAAAGCCAATGTCGTACTGTCTGTCTTCCTCAGCTCTAAGCGTGCAGTGGATGAGAGTGAGGTGGAGGCAGCTGAGAGACGGAGCCTCCGCTGTGTCTGGGTCACCGGTGGCCGGGCGCTGACAGAACAGGAAGCCGCTGTCGAGATCGTGTCTGAGGCAAGGCTCCTCCTTCAGGAAGACCTGGCACAGTTAGGAGTTCAGTGGGATCCGACAACACTTCCTCCCGGGGCTCCTGCTGTGAACAGCCCTGATGACCACCACAGTGGGGACTCAGACACCTCATCTACCTCATGTCTCAGCTCTCATGAAGCACAGATAGACCACATTAAAAATCACCGAGCTGGAGTCAAGAAAGGTGAGGGCAGAGACATTGGCAGCCGTGGAAAGGAGAATAAGGAACAATCTAAACGCAAGGATGAAAGGATCAAAATGAAGAAAGAAGAAGGAGAAGCCAGGAGAGAGCAAGGGAAGTCCAAGCCTGAAATCACAGTAGTCATCAGAAAATTGGAGGAGCACAGAAAGCAAGACAGGACAGTGCCAGAAATCAGACAAACTGCAACTGAAGTGCAAGTAGAAAGAAGCAAAGAAACAAAAAAAGATGAGACCGATAAAAATATATTAATGGCCAATGACACAGAAGATCCAGATGAAAAAAGAGAAAGGCAAAAGCACACAACTTCGAAGCAAGGAGGGGAAGAGTGCAAAAAAGCAGAGCCAAAAGAAGGAGAGACAAGTAAAGGGTCTGTCTCAATCAGATCAAAGCGTCATCAATCAAATCATCCTGTTCCTGAGAGGAGTCTGACACAGGAATTGGCTGAGATTGTATCCAGTCCCCTGCCTCAACCGATGCCACGTCCTCAGCCCTCTTCTTCCCCAATGCCTCCTCCTCGGTTTAGAGCTCCAGTATCCCGAGTAGAAGAACAACACAGCACCCCTACAAGGACGTCAAAGGGAGATGGTACCACAGGGATTGTTGCCTCACCTGTGCAGCCAGGTAGGCTGAAACACTCAAGGGCCTTAAGCAAAGTCCTCCACTCCATACAGACTGACAAAAGCCTACCGGATAATGTAGATAATGCACAGACGTCACACTTAAAACCCACAGGAGTCAAAAATTCAGCACCTGCAGTGCTCGGGACCCCTCCCGGTGTTTCTGCACCGACAAATGCAGATATGCAAGACTCTCCATCTGTCTCTCCTGCCTCAGTTCCTTTATTCTCTCCTGAGGCCAAGCGAAGAAAGATAGATGGCGGAGAAGTAGATACGTTTTCATCTCCCGAGCTGTACGCAGGGGAAGAGAGAGATGTAGAAGTTGAGGTAGCTCTTAAAAAGGGAGAAGAGAGTTTTGGGGACAGCTTTGAACTGGACACTCAGACAGAAAGAATCATTGTTCAACAGGCATGCCAACACAGAGATGGTAATGATAAAGGTATTAAACCGTCAGTAGAAACGGTAATTGTAAGAGAGGAGGAAAAGGTAGAAGCAGTTGTAGAGCTGGATAAGAACACAAATGAGGGAGGTAACAGGCTTGAAGCACCTGCATGTCCCAGATTCAATATTTCTCTGACAGACAGCCAAATGGAGCTCATCCTTAACACCAGCCACCAGGTGAGTGATCTGAATCATCCTTTATGGACAGAATATAAATGTCAAACATATTCAAATAGTTTGCCTCTTGACAATCAAAAGCTATGATGTTGGTTTTTTTTTTACAGATGTCTCCTGGCCCAGATGGTGCTAATGTTGTTAAAGATAAAGATGGAGGTGGTGATGAAGATGAGGCATTTGGCAATGATCAGGCTGCCTCTGAGAGTGTCAACAGAAGCAGCAGCTTCCTGTTCGACAGCCTGTATGATAGCTCTCTGCTGGCTGGTCTGAGCCCACACCAGATTCTTGACCAATCAGACGAAGAGGAATCTGTTGGCCGGGAGCTCGGAGACAAGTGCCCCCTTCCACCAACCCAGGCGCGAAGATGCAGCGAGCTTCTCGCCAATCAGGAGGCGGAGCAGCAGGAAGCAATCCAATGGAGCGAGTCCTCTTTCAACTTGTCCGAATGGGGCGACTCACTGTTGGTGGGCGAACACTTTCTGGAGAGGCAGAGCTTGCTCAAACACACAGAGAGGACTCAAAAAGTACAAGAAGCCAGCCGTCATAAAGCTCAGCAACCCAACGCTGACCATGCTGTGGCTGAGGAGCAGCTGTCAGAACCCCAACCAGAACCAAGTCAGATACAGCCACAACCCACCACTGTAACTACTATCACAAATAAAAATGAAAAGGATAAAGCCAGTGATAATCAAGGTTATACACACAAAATTAAACCGCGTAGTAATGCACAAAATGACAATAAACCAGGTGGGAGACAGGAAACGATGAATGAAGAGGGTGAAAATGGGAAGCAAGTAGAGAAGAAAATAAACAAAAGGGAGGAAATTAATACCGTTTTAAAACACCCACATGTCCGAAACGCACCTGAAAGCACTTTTCATTGCAGCCCTGGTTTACAAGAGATCTTTGACCGCTGGCCTAGTATGTCTGACCAGTCCTGGCAAAACACCACAACAGGCCACAGAGCCACTCATGCACTCATAAATGCTGCAGCAGAGGTTCCAGATCTACCTCCGCCATCAATACAGGTGGACAGAAAAGGGGGAAAGCCAAATGTGCAGGTTGCTGCTGCTGAGAGTCATTCACGAGAGGAGCAAGCCTCAAGAGATGAGGATATAACAGAGAGACCAGGCTCTTCTGGTGATCTTATTCCCCCAACTCAGGAAACACCACCTGTCACACCCAGAGTAAAACTGACCACCTCATCTGTCCAATCCCCTCTCACCGCTCAGCCACTTAGCAGGTCGACTCCCTCGACCCTCCCACCACAGAAACCAACAATCACAAAATGTCCTAAGTCTCGCTCAGGGCGCAACGATCGTCTATCAGAAGGTGTTGCTCACATTAAACAGTCTAATTCTACATTGAAGACTCTGCATGTTCCACACTCAAGTTCAAAAACAAGACCCCAACTACACACCAACCAGAATCTCGGCCCTCCCCGAGACCCTCCATCCTCCCCCCGGCCGGTGCCTCCTTCTGACGTAGAATCGCCTGTGACTGACGAAGGCTTCACTCTCCAGCTGTCCCAGGATGCATCACTCTGTTCCAGCAACTCTGGGACCTTCTCCATCATAGATGTGGCGAGTGACAGGCGCCTCTTCGGCACTTTCATTAATGAGTGGAAAACAAAGGAGCGGTACTCTCTGGCTTTGGCCTGTGAAAAGAGGGAGCACAGACAGCAGCCTGAGGAGGAAATAGGAGGGAAACATAAAAGAGGTAACTGATGAATATGCACGGAAGTGACATTAACTGAATGTTGCCAAGTACTAACCCACAGATTGACACCATCTATTAAATGCACAGAAGTCTCTTTTCTTCCATTACCAGAACATAAGCATAGCCTGTATTGTATGCACTCTCCTCATCTATGCATGTTTTCTGTGCAGCGTCAGCAGCTCATCAGAAGCTGAACAGGGTCAACGGTTTTCCAGTAAGAGACAGTGATGGACTGATGTTGATTGGACTGTCTGTCTGCTGGGGAGCAAGAGATGCGTACTACATATCTCTGCAGCAAGAGCAGAGCAAAGGTATAGACGCACACAGGAATGCATGTATACACAAGCTCACTCCTGAAGCGTTTCCTTAGTTCAGCTTGTCTGTCGCCCCCTCAGGTCTGAGCTCCAGTCTGGCGCCTCCTCCACTGGATGATGATTTGCCAGTAAGTGAGAGGCTGGCAGAGGTGAAGGCCTGTCTGAGCAGGCCATCGGCTGGTCATAGAGGAGGCGTGGTCGTCACGTATGACATCATCCCAGTGTACAAAATGCTAGTCCTGAGCTGCGGCATCAGTTTGGAGGGAAACTGTGAGGATCCCAAGGTGAGGCAATCATTTTATGTTTCATTTAAAGCCTCTTAGTGATATTTCATAATATTGAAATTGACACTGGATCAGTGTTCCCGGGGATACATTTTTTTTTTTATACAAAAATGTTGCAATCAGAATAATGTGAATGGTTCTATAATCCCATAACCATCCCATAACCATCCCATATAATCTCATCCCATAGGTTGCATGCTGGCTAGTGGACCCTGGCAGTGAGGAGAGGACTCTACCCAACATGGTGACTGTCTACTGTCCTGAAGAACTACCTCTGCTGGACGGACTTGGGAATGCTCATGCACACTGTCCTCGTGTTAGGGCAGCAACCAAGAGTGTGCTCGTTCACGCCGTCATGAACCATCTCACTGGACTGCTAGAGAAAGACGGCATGCTCGGTATAAACAGCAAACACTTTGTATTCATATAATATTTCACCTGTTGTAAACAGTAGTGATTTACCATTGTTGCAATGTTTTTGTGCGCATGTGTCAGACTTATTTAGGAGCAATGAGATGCCTTCCCAGGTTTGTTTGGCTCTGTTGGAATTGAACGGAGTGGGCTTCAGCGTGGAAGAGTGCGAAAGACAAAAACATGTGATGCAGGCCAAACTCACAGCTCTGGAATCTCAGGCTTACAACTTGGCTGGACACAGCTTCTCCCTCACCAGCATTGATGACATAGCGCAGGTCTGATGCACCTTCTTTATGTGAAGTACAACAAAGCATTAAAAGAGGTACAGTTTCCAAACTTGTGTGTTCTCACATGCACGCTGTCCTGTAGGTGTTATTCTTAGAGCTCCATCTGCCTCCAAATGGCGATGTGGGCGGATTGAAAAGTAAGAAGACTCTCGGCTACACCAGGAGAGGTGGTGGCAAAGTACGACTTGGAAAGCAGTTCAGCACCACCAAGGTGAAACCACTTTGCAATCACATGAAATTCTTGCTACTAATATTGTTCACTATGTTTAAACTGAATGGTGATGGTGTTGGCAGGATGTTCTGGAGAAGCTTCGTCCCCTGCACCCTTTGCCAGGCGTGATTCTGGAGTGGAGGCGGATCACTAACGCCTTGACTAAAGTGGTGTTCCCCTTGCAGAGGGAGAAAAAATACCACCCTACACTGACCATGGACAGAATATACCCCATCGCCCAGACACACACAGCCACAGGTAAAACACACAGATAACACAAACACATTAAAAGCTTTTGTCTTTGCCGTATATATTGTGTTTTCATGTAGACACACCTCGATGTCAGTGGTACATTCGTATTATTGTGCATTTTATTTGAAGTAAATATAAAGCATGCAGTGACCCAGCTCCTTCTGTTGTCAGGTAGAGTGAGCTTCACTGAGCCCAACATACAGAATGTGCCCAAAGACTTTGAGATTCAAATGCCCACGGTGGTGGGTGAGAGCCCACCTTCGCAAGACAGCCGTCACATGACCACCAAACCAAGGTAGGTCAATGCCCTTCTGGGTCAAAGTTCAATGCACTCTATGAGCGTAAGGCTCTCCAAGTTCCCTAAAAACTAAGTTAATTCATGCTCATTAAAGCACACCAGCTCTTTGTGATACATTTTACATTACACCCAGCTAATTTACAGTGTGTAGCTATTTAAATACTTCAGTATTATCTTGTATATTAAAATATTCAGTTGTCGAGCTAGGAAAATTTGGATAAGAAAATTAGCAAAAGTTTAATATTTCAATATCAAAGTTAATTTATGCTGTCTGCTGATCCGATGTTGATCTAAGGCAACTATACTGTACTATTTGTTTGTCTGTGATGTGTCTACGCTCTTCCATGCTGATATTCATAATATACTACATACATATAGTGTGATGTGGAAATATATACAAACACTAGCAATAATAATCCGCCTATAACACTTCATTGCAATGCAAGTCATGGTTTGCTATAAAAGCAATGTTGGTTTTTGACAGATTTTTAAAATTGAGTCACAGCCTACAGTAGAAACTCAGATTATTATACAATACACACAAGTGCCAATTATTAAAGCCAGATGATGAGTCAGTAGGTACTTGGAAGTGAAAAATAAACTTGATGCATAATGTTACATGCTAATTCTGTGGGTTTTCTCCAAAGTTGACAAGGGTTGATGTATGGTAAGAATTCAAAGATGGAATAAGTTTGTCCTTGTTACAGAACGAGGAGACGTTCTGTGGTACCTTCAGTTGCAGCCGGCAGCGCAGAACAAGGCCAGGCCTTCTCTGTCAGCATGAGACATGCCTTCGTACCTTTTTCAGGTTACTATGATGATATTGTTGCTTTGTGTGGGGTCAACACGGTTTCTGTCTTGGGCTGTTTTATCTTCAGCTGTGTCCTCCTGTGCTGTACTGTAGGTGGGATGATATTGGCAGTTGATTATTCCCAGCTGGAGTTGAGAGTGTTGGCTCACCTGTCCAGGGACCAACGCCTTCTGCAGGTCAGTGGCTTAGACGCACAGCGAATAGCAAGAAAACATCATATAACTAACATGAATGAAAAAGGTAAATAAATGATGAAACTGTGTGTCGCCAGGTGCTGAATGGTGGAGCAGACGTGTTTCGCTGCATTGCCGCTGAGTGGAAAAGTGTCGACCCAGAGTCTGTCAACGACAATCTCAGACAACAGGCAAAACAGGTAAAACAATGCAGGAAAGAGAAGATAACATGGACACACTTACGTTCTCACTGCTAAGCTCACCGATGTGCACATGCATTGGTCTTTTCAGATTTGCTATGGCATTATCTATGGGATGGGAGCCAAGTCTTTGGGGGAGCAAATGGGAGTGGAGGAGAACGACGCAGCTTGCTACATAGAGAGTTTCAAGGCCAGATACAAAGGTACACACTTCTACTCATTTTATGAACTCCTTATATTCTATTCTATCTATATATGTAAGTTTATGGCTCTACATACACAAGCTTCAATTGTTCAAAATGTAACTACATGTATTGTTTTTAATTTTTTTGTACTGTGGACATCTATATCAAAGTTATGAATGTATATGTATGTATATGTAAAAATTGTATAAGAGGGTGCTAGTAAGGGACGGCTCAATAACACTTTCATGTCCAATAACACAACCTTAAAGTATCTGCCGATACTACCAATACTTTCTCCCTCCCATAAACAACTAAGCTGTTAATAATACATTTGTGTTACGCTTTGCTTTACCTGAACGTCTAAAAGTATCATGCTCATACTATGAAACAAACAAGCAATTGAATTAGTGCCCACACAAATGGATAAAGTCCATTTAACCTGTCCTGTCTTGTTTCAGGGATCAATGCTTTTCTTAAAGAAACCGTGAAGAACTGTATAAAGAACGGTTATGTTCAGACTCTGATGGGCCGTAGGAGATACCTACCTGGGATCACTAACAGCAACACGCACGCCAAAGGACACGTAAGCGTGATTGTCCATCAGAAGTTGCCTGAATTTATTTGTAAGCTGTGGAATGGAAAGTTCATGTGGTTCTTTTGATTTATTCCCTATTTCATAGCCTCTCTCTCTCTCTCTCTCTCTCTCTCTCTCTCTCTCTCTCTCTCTCTCTCTCTCTCTCTCTCTCTCTCTCTCTCTCTCTCTCTCTCTCTCTCTCTCTCTCTCTCTCTCTAGGCAGAGCGTCAGGCAGTGAACACAACTGTACAGGGTTCAGCAGCAGACATTGTTAAACTTGCCACTGTGAACATCCAGAAACAACTCAGAAAAACATATCCTGCAGCACCACTCTCTCACCAGCACACACACGCAGGTGACTTAATCTTAACCTCTTCCCATTCTTTATAAACACGCAGAAAGAGATGATGCCTGATGATATCAAAATGGTGTCCGTTACACAGCCAGTAATCACCGCAGGGCTGGGAAGTCTAAACTCGGAGGAGCCTACTTTGTCCTGCAGCTGCATGATGAGCTCATCTATGAAACCACAGAGGAAGACCTCATACAGGTATGAAAATTAGCAGGTGTCAGCATTTGGTAAATGTGTTTACAGAAAGTTTGACACTGAGTAGATCTAAAACAGTGTATGTGAGATTTTCATCTGAGGGATTTTTTTTCTAGGCCAACAAAGTAGGTTAGTAACAGACAGGCATGATATGATCGCTTGAATTTGAGACATTTAATTAACACTGAAAACTGACATCTTTGTTTACAGTACTTGATAGACCTGTGATAAGAGAAAACAAATACCTGTTTTTTGATGGATTTCTACTTTAATGTAGTGCATTTCCTACATGTTTTTTATTGTGGAGAAACAGCAGAACACATTCTGGAAAAGACCACATATATACATAATTTTTTGTCTTCCTATCAGGTTGCTCAGATAGTCAAGAGGGAGATGGAGACCGCAGTAAAACTATATGTAAAGCTTAAGGCCAAAGTCAAGGTGGGACCCAGCTGGGGCAACTTACAGGACCTAGATATATAATGCCAATGTTATGATGTTTGATATTGAAATGAAATGCAGTTTATGGTTTAAGGTTCTTTACTACATCAATACTAATAATTTGTACTAAAATCAATATTTTTTTTAATCACTACATTAATAATGAAATGTAAGAAACTCACAGCCTGTGATTGCACAATGTGCTCTAAATGAACTTTCAAAATGTATTTATAATTTTGTTTTTCAGTGTATAGTGTAACAAATTATACATTTGTCATGAGATTTTAACACATGATATTCAATGTTATATAATAAGATGAAATGTTTTGTTTTTTTTGAAAGCATGTGGCTGCAACAATTATTTTCATCATCGATTAATGTGCTGATTGTTTTGTCAATTAACTGTTTAATGTTAAAAAACACTGATAAAATGCCAAACAGAGCTCAAGATGATGGTACAAAGAAAACCCAAAGATATTCAATTTACAATGATATTTGACAAAGGAAATCAGCTCGAACAGGAGAATGTTTTCTCACAATTTTAGCTTGAAAAAAAAGGCTGAAACGATTAATCGATTATCAAAATAGTTGCCCGTTATTTTCCTGTCGATTGACTAATCGTTTCAGCTCTACTGTGATCCATTTAAAATAAAGACACGGAGCAGCTTTAGTCTTGAGGACATCCTGAAATCTCACATTTTATTGGACCGTTGGTTGATTGGTTGGCTGTCACAAGAACATACATCATTATCATTGTCACTCGTTAACGTTTTATTTTACACTTATGACATTCACTGCACAAGAAGTGTTGTCACTATGATAGACATTTTCTGTGCAAAGCGAAAATCACCACCTCTGGTTATGGGGAGAAAAATAAATGTCGTCCAAGAAGCATTTTGTGTGTGTATGTGTGACTTTAGTCGTAATTATTTTGAAGACATAGATGATGACCTGTTAGTGCTCTGCAGGTGGACCTCAATAACCTCAATACAAAAAGTAAGATTTTTAAATGATTCCATTCAATATTGCCAATATAAGCCAATGCAGACTATTTCAGTGACCCTCTTCACAACCTTCAACTTGAACTTAATAAAAGGGGGATTTACACACCTGGATAAACACCTTTTTAGGGTGACCTTTTCTCATTACTGATTCACAATTAACCAGTGCACCATGACTCAACAGAGTTCATCAACACAGGCTCAGTTTGACACAAAAAAGTGACAAAAATGAGTAACAAGTAAATAAATACATGTCATGGACACACATCCATAAACAAATACAACAAATAAATCATGAACAGCTTTTGATGAACAAGACTTTTTTTTCCTTCTTTAAAAAACAAACAAACAAAAAAGATGTTTTAAAACAGTAGGAGTGTGATCGCAGATGTTGGTACAGATGTCAAAAAAGGCCTTTTTTGTGTGAAATAGCCGTTGAACTCATGCCACTACTTAATCTAATGGACATATTGTTTATCCAAAAGGTGTTAACTTATGTCAGTGCTGTCATTACACAGAGTAATGTGATAAAATGACTGTTCGTTTGAAGTGTTGATGCTCATCAATAGGACAGTGATGTTGACGTGATGAAGCCCATCAAGACGCTGCTGCTGTGTTGCTCTTTAATGTTTGGGTATTACCCATACCCCATGATATAAATGTGTTTTTATGAGGCAGCCAAAATGATCATAAGAGAACAATCATCTGCACACACAATGATAATCAGTATCTTTGGTGGTTTTCGCCGTTGTCCACTGACCTTTTTGCACCTCTAAATTATACAACAAATATTGGCTTCAGTCGTTTATACAAGGGGAGGTGACCAACAACTGGCAAATTCTGTGGTTGGCAATTTCAAAGCCAATGAGAGGACTCTGAAGAAGAAGTGATGCCTTCCAACTACAAATCCACTTCACCACACCGTCCCCTTTAGGGCCTAGCAGACTCATACAGAAATTAGACTAATGTGTTGGGGGTATGCAGGTTTCTGTAAACATAGTTTTTTTAGTCAGACTCACTGCCACAAACAGAAAAAGGTTATTAATCAATTAAGGCATTGACACAGGCAGAACTGTGCATTTCACCAGAGTAGAAAACAGAAAATATATGTACACAGGTACAGTTAAGTGCTACTCAAGCAGCCTCGTGTTCCACTGGCTAGATCTGGAGCAAGAAAAACTGGGACCAGGACTGGCCTTTCCTTGCTCCATGAATCACGGGGGGGAGGGAGCTGAGGCCAGGAGCTTTGCCCTTGTCAGATAACATCCTGGGGGGAAAAGCTCTTGGCCCTGGCCTAGGTTATTAGGATATAACAATTTACATGAAAGAAGGGAAGTAAGGACACAAGAGGTTTGAGGACGACATATAGGAAGGTGTCAGGGCGTCTCTCCGTTGCGGCTGAAGTAGTACCTGACTGGAGGACCGGGGAGGTCATCGTCTCCATCTGCTTCTGGAGCAAATGACACAGTGAGGTCAACGTAGCGGCGGTCCACTGATGGCTTGATCAGCTTCTGCATCCTACAGAGAGTCAGAGGCAAGGTTAGTGCATCTGTTCATTAAACAAGGGATGAATCATTTCAATTCCAGAGTTAGGGAGTGAGGTTTGGTCTCTATAAAAAAAACGTAGCAATCCAGGTTACTATCATTCTCCTATGCTTGTCTGTGTCAAGAGCTGCTAATCTGTATGTCGGGGCTGACACACACACACACAGACACACACACACACAGAGGACAAATAGAGTATCTGTATAAAAATGGGAAAATCAATAAACACTTACGTTAGTTTGAGTCTCTTTGAGTGTCCAGGCATCACAGGCACATACAGCATCTTCACACCATGGACAACCATAGTGGGTTCAATTCCATACTTTTCCTGAAATAAAACAACCAATCATCATCATAAAAAAAAGAAAAAATGAAGAAGCAAATAAAAACCTTTAAATACGACAATGCTGTAACTGTATCTAAACTGCTAATACACCAAAAAAGTACAATACGTGTAAACGGTTCTCACCCTGACTGCATTCATGAAGTCCGAGAGAGTGAAGTCCTCATGGCCAAAGATAGTCCAACAGTCCCAGATGGAGAAATAGATGTTGTCCCTGGAAAAGACATAATTGAACAGTCACAACATTACATTGTAATAATAATGAAATATGGCTAAAGATCCTGCATTTGATGCCATCTTGTAGCTGGAATTTTTACTTTGCTTCTGTGATGTGTCAATAATAGTACGGTGGTCATACATGTAATAGATCGAGTCAAAACAGCACTGCTATCTTGCCAGGTGTTTTATCACCTTTAAGCAGTGTGAGAGACAGTGAGCTTGATAAATATAGATATGCCCTTACCTGATCCGTGTCCTTTTAACCGTGGCAGGCTCAGTGAGCACCACTACAGGGATGGCCAAGTTAAAGAAGCAGTTTTTGAAAGATTCAAACTCGTAGGCTCCAACCACCTTGATCAACTCGAGGGCCACCTGAGTACATGAATTGAAAATGCCCAATATGTGTTTTTAAAGGTGTTTCAAAATAAACACACCATGTTTAACCATGAAAATATGGCAAAAATGTCAAACTTCTCACCAGTCCAGCCACAGCAGCTGTTGCCGTGGCAATAGCGGGTATGATCTTGCCGGCGATGCGTTTGGTCTTGAGTCTGTCGGCTGGCTCGATGGAGTACATCCTGGCTCTGAGAGCAGATGCTGATGCGACAAAGTCTATGTGACCGTTGCTGTCATCGTCCTTTTCAAACTGCAGTGGACTCAACTGTAACCTCTCTATATGTGAAAGCACAGACATCATCGATGATTATTAAAAGCAGTTAATAGGATCAGAAAAGAGAGTGTATGTTCTCTAATTATTTACACTGCTGTAATGAATATAACTCAATATCAGTCTTTCAGATTTAAAATGTAGCAGTCCTCTTGAGTGTCCTTTTACAAATCTTCCTGCTGAATATTTGTTGTAATTTTGTTATGCGTTTCTTTAACAGCGAACCTGCTGTGACACTGTCAGTAGCAATGGCCTGCTCCAGCTGTGTGATGGCCTCCCTCTCCTCTTCACTGCTGAGAGGCATCTTTATCTGATCAGGCTTCTTGGCCGATTCGTCCGTCACTATAGACTGGAAGGGACATATCCGCAACAATCATCAAGATTAGGATTTTGTTTTACACTCCGATAGAAAACAAAGACCACATCAGTGGAGGAGCTTACTTTCTCTGAGGGCCTGTACTCAGGAATATTGACATCTGAGAGAATCCTGGTCACCGCCTCTTCAGAAAGATCCTGGGAAAGAAGGCAAGTGCGTAAGTCAGTGAGTAAGTGTGTGCTTGACAGAGTGTATGCAAGAGTGTACGTGACCTACCTTTTCTGAGTAAGGGATATTATAAATCCCTGCGAAGAGCCGGGCAGTGCTGACAATGAAAGTGAAGTGCCTGATGGGAAAAGAGGAGGGTTTTGGCTAGCTTAGATATGAAACATAAAATGCTAGAAAGGCTTACGCTGTAATATGAGCATACTCACAAAGAATCTTTCAAGTCAAAATCTAAAGGTGCTGGAGGTCTTTTCGGGGACTGCCAAAACAAACCTAAGGAAAGAAAGAATAATTTAAATATATTCTGTGCTTTAAGTCGTTAAAAAGTACTGTATTATTATAAATTATTGTGAATTCGTCTGGTAACTTTATAGGTATACATGTGTTTGAGAAAAACTTACTTCCATCTTTTAACCTTGTGTCCAGGGGGAAAGAGTGCAAGAGTTGTAGGGCCTGCAAAAAAACATCAGTAACATGTAAACACTGCTTATATTGTGGAAGTTGCACCGACACACATATACATACAATCCATTTAGTGAATGTGTATTTTCAGACTCATTACCTTTCTCTTGAAATACTTTTCGAATTTCAGACGAGCAACAGTGATGCACTGTTCCCACTGGCTTGGCCGCCTGCTCAGCAGCTTGATGACCTGGAATGACCCCTCCAGACTTTCCCCTGCCTGCATCCTCTACACACACACACACACACACACACACACACACACACACACACACACACACACACACACACACACAGTTATTAAGTATTACATTGCTGGCATAGATCAACACAAAAAAAAACAGGAATACACAGAATATAAAAATAGTTTAATGCCATCATACACCAATCAGCCAGGTGGTCATAATGTTATGGGTGATCGGTGTATATACAGTATACACTGAAGGCTTTGATTACTTTTTATTAGTTTTTTCTTGGCCTCACAAGTTATAACCATTAGAAAGAAGGGTATGCATAAACATTATAAACTGACATAAAATACTCAAGTATTCAAGTAGATATTTCTCAAATGTTCCATTGCACAAGGAAGAAACAAATGAGTAATAGCAGTTGTTTCAGCTATGCTATAAATTTATATCATATAGGATATTAAAACAGGTACATCGCCCAGCACTACTTATAATAAGTCAGAGCAACACTTCAGGTCTTACCTGTAGCACAACTTCAGCCGAGGGGTGGGTCTGCCAAAACGAGTTGTACATGGAGGGCTTGTGGACAAACGCATTCTCAAACTAGACAAAAACGAAGAAAAAGTTTAAGATTTGGAAAGTACACTGACACATACTGTCAAAAATTAGGATTTGAAGGGTTTGGGGCAGACTCACCTTGTCTCTGGCCCATTGAATGGTGTGCTCTATGACAGAAGGGAAAGACTTCAGAGTGCAGAATGGGATCTCCTCTTCTGGGGGGTCCCTCTGGTAAGCAAAGGAGGATATATTTAAGAGCACTGTAAGGACTAATGTCTGTGTCTATTAAGCAGTTCTACTACTGGACTGAGATAATGAAGGAAATAAACAAGAGCAAAAAACACAAACATGGTCACACACAAACACATATACTCACATGGCTATTGTAGGACTCTGTCAAATTTGGCACAATGATTTCTGTGTGTCCTTTAGTTCCCATGGTGCCAGAGTCCAGTAGAGGTCTCTGGTTGGATACACACCGGCTGAAAAATAAATACAGACAGAAACATATATCAGTTGTTGGCCAAATGAGTAAATGTTTCATAAAGTACCTTCCCAACTCTTATATTCACTCTTAAGCATCCTCTCTCTCTAGGTTTGTGATGAGGGGTGGGTTCAGTTAGTGAGGGAAACTAACTAAAATCATCTGGATGCTTTAGATAGTATTGATTGTGTAACTTTCATATTTGCACCAACCTGTCCACATATCTCCGAGCCTCCACGTTGTCCAGCGCAGTGACCACAAGGTTCAGGCGGGAATAGAATGAGTCATTGTAGATGCTCTCAGTAGCCGGACACACCTTGTTAAGATGAGCATCCACGTGCAGGTCTGGGTTGATATCGTGAGTGGCTTCTGCTGCTGTGGTACTCTTCGGTTTCTGAGACACGGGAGGACCGGAAAAGAGTGTGTGTAAATGTCTGTGTGGTTTATTACAATCAAGTTTCTTTTTGATGATCTGATTGTAATTGCTTTTGTCTGAGTATCTGCCAGTTTGAGCTGATATTTTTTTTAATATTTTTTTTACATAATACACAGCAGAACAGACACAATTTTAGCAACTAGTAAAAGTATATAAATATTGCATTAAATATCTTCCCAATTTACAAAGGTTACATATATACCTACATTAAGAGTTAGGTTGAGTTAATCCATGGTTAAACAAAAAGAAGGGTTAGGAAGTGGACATCTATTCACCTGTATATGATGTGGTCTGAAGAGAAACTGACGATTGAGGTTGGATTTTTCTATAAGGTCTGGGTCTGTGATGCATACCTGAGAATTGACAGATGCCAAGTGCATGGTTTCACTAAATACATACCACCAAGCAATGAAATATATTGCAAAACATAAAGAAATACAGTCATACAGAGAAGAGGAAACACAGAAAGACTGCCCACCTCTCCTGAGCTCTTGGCCAACCCCACTCCAAGCAGGGCAAAGTTTTTCAGCATCTCGCAGCCAATGGCACCACAGCCCACCTGGAAGTGAACACATTGTAGGATTGATTTGGACATAAACCTTAAACTAGTGGATTAGTGTGTAGGATTTAGTTGCAGATTGAAACCAACTGAAAACCTCTTTGAAACTTGTAAAGGCCCAATCATAAGGTAACAAACACATGGTTCTTATTTTCAGGTAATTATACACTAACATAACTAAACATACATACCAATGAATATTACATTCCAATTCTGCCAATGGATCATGCTCAATGTTACACACTGGATCTTTAAAATAATGTAATGTAAAATTAGGCTTTCTATGTACAGGACCATCCTTACCATGAAGACCCTGAGCTTGTGCAGTTCTAGACACATTGATTCACCAATGCAAGCTCGTAATCCATCATACCGGTCTCCCCTTGGGAAAAACTCCTCAGCGGAAACAGACTGAAGTGGCTTGACTACCTCGATGGCATCAAGATAAAACTAAACATGGAAGAAACCGAGAAGGAGATGATATTAACAGTTGGGTGGAAAAAAAGATACAAAAATTGTGAACACCTATTAAAGTAAAGTATTTCCATTGCAACAAAGAAAGTGGGTAGACTGAGCTAGTGAACAATCAGTAGGAACCATTTCACTTTTGGAGGAGGTCTACAGTTCAAATTGAGTAACGTACCCATTGCTGCAGTGGTGCAAACTTCCCTGTGATGGCCTTAAGAACTTCCTGGCTGGCTAGACCTCCTACAGCGGCTGCTAACGGAGGAAGAGTTCCCCTCGCTGTTCTCGACAAACAGCGCACCAACTCTGGATTCACAGAAGCCTGAAGCGAGGGAGAGAGGCAGGGAAAACAATCAGATATTTTGGGGCTCCTGTGTGCTTAACCTGTCAAAGAGGATTTATGTGCATCTTTGCAGGTTCAAGAGAATTAATCACAAGGGATGAAAAGAAAAGAAAAGCACTTACTTTGTTCCTGAGAGTTGCATTCACTTCTTCGGTTAGCTTCAGTAAAACCTCAGCATCCTGTAAACACCTGATGGCATCAAAGTGAAACTGCTTACAACTGAATTTTTTTTACATTTCAAACCACAGCCAAGACAAATAATATCATCAGGTGCAGAAAGTAGGGCAGCAGATTGGAAAACAAGAAAGAAATATTTTCCTTACCCAATGTTGGGAAGTCTACTGTGCTGCTCCTGGAAGGTGTCTAGAGCCAACATGGCTGCATGGATCTGGAGAGGGGCCTGATGGGCAGATTTTAAAAAAGGATTGTGAGAAAACTGCTTGGTTAGAAAGGCGTTTGTAAATCAGATAGCAAGGTTCACTTAGGATATGTTTACACTGCAAGCCTTTGTGCTAAATTCTGATTTATTGCTCAGATCAGATTGTTTGGCTGGCTGTTTAAGTTATATATATATGCCTATCAGATTCCAGTATGAACAGGTCGCAGTCCTGAAGTGACCTGCATGACGAATGTTTATCCTAATTGATGTAAAAGACACATGAATTCTGATATGACTGTTCACACTGACACAAAAACAGACCCATATCTGATTTGGACCCCATATGAAAGTGGCCCGAATCAGAATTTAAAAAATCTGATTCCATGTGATCTGTGCTGTTCACTCTGTCATCAAGATCTAAGTCACATATGAGCAAAGAAATCTGATTTTGTTCACTCACTGAACTATCTTTGACATATCTGGCTTCACTAAAATCAAAACATTAGCAAATCTGGATAACTTGTCTCAAAAAGCTGGTTATCATGAAGCTCTGTTAACCCAGGCAAGAAAAGCACCCAGCCAGAGAATACTAGGAAGCCAACTGACTGGTACACATATGTGCTCCTTCACTTGTAAATATAATGTGAAGGTAGTGTGTGTCTCCAGCCACAAAGGAATTAATCCTGAAAGTATGATGGCTCCATTCTTCCTGAAAGCTGATTGATTAGTAGATTTTATCCAATCAAAACTTAACCTGCTCTGAATTAAGTTATGCTGCATAGTTTATATTTTTGGTCATGTGCCTTGGTAAAGTAAGCCAGCTTTACTGTAGAACTGGGTTAAGCCCAAAGTACTTTGTGATGCAGTCTCCATGAACAGCTTTGAATTCTTACCTCTGGTTTACTGAAGTCTGGAGTCAGCACCTGAGGGTCACACAGCTGTCTCTCTATTGTCTCCTGGAATACATAAATGGATAAACACAGAGACACACGCACATAAGAATATATGTCTGTTTAGAAATGTATGGGTTTTTTTGTTTAACTGTTTTAGTTCTGGTCGATATGACTTGTTAACTTACAAATCTGTATGTCTTAGGGGTTTTCATCAGGACAAAGAAACCTCCATGTGCATATGGTTGTAGTTGGGATGTGTCTCCTATTGCAAAACTGTGAGGGGACAGGACTAATACCACACACACACACACACACACACACACACACACACACACACACACACACACACACACACACACACACACACACACAGAAATGTCTTAGATTAGATTATTAATTACACTATTATGTCACCTTACTTACATACCATATATATTGGAATAGGGCGGTACAATAGCATAGATTAGTGTGGGAATGATAATTTTTGAATCAGAAATTTAATTAAGATTTTTTTAAACAAAATATTAAAAATCGTGGTGATGTGAATTTTTTAAGGTCTGTACCAAATAAATCTTAAATGTGGATCTTTGTAGGTCAGGGCATCTCTGCAGGACTACAGTACTTCATTATAATGCTGTTTTGTCACACATTTTACCTGTATCAAAAAAATTCAGCTTCAGCAATTTGCATATTGCAGTTGTGATAATAATTTGATCAATTGTGCAGCCCTATCTTGGAATAGTTCAAAATATGACAAAAATAATAGACCCAGTATGTTATGATTTGTTTTACCTATATAAATATTAACTTCAACCACATCACTGGATAAGTATGCTGGTGTTTTAAAATTAAAACTCTGAAAACATCAAATATACTATACTTCTACAATGTAGAAATAATACCTGAAACCTGCCGCGCGGTGCCGTTGAGTTCCACCATGCCATTGACCTCTCTGAAAACGACACTCTGGCCTGTTTGTAGGCCATGCGGTTGGTTGTCCATGCAGGTCACCACTCCAGGGTTGTCCTGAACGGTCAAAATTCAAAAGGAGATCAAATATTTTTTGAAGCAGGCACTGTCTCTGGGCTCATATTTTCATTGCCCCATTTCCAAAGATGAATTAAGGAATTTAATTTTTACATCATGCAAAACTCTGGCGAATCCACCTTGCTTATTAGATTTACTAAATTTAATACTGCTAAGAATGTCTGAAGTTCAGATTACCTGAGTGATAGTTTGGATGAAAGTCTCCTTGGGTTCCTCTCCTGTGGGATCCGACACCTCAAACTCCTCTCCAAAGTCACAAAACACCCGCACACAGATGCCATATGCATCACAGCCAATGAACTGGAAAGGGCACGAGGTAAAACAGGTTGGTTACTACACAGGTTTGGGTATTATTTGAGTTTCCTATATGTGAGATATGGTTTAGTTTATGCTTTGTAACATATATCCACTATAGCCACTGTAGACTTACTCTGATGGGGGGTTGTTGTGAGTGGCAGAACTCATTCACTCTCTTCTGTAGGCTTAATCTGGTTTCAGTCAGAATCACACACTGGAGGAGAAAACAGAGCAGACACTAAATGTTACCTGAAGTGCAGTGAAGCTATAACAATTCAGGTTTTAACTAACCTGCCACCTAAAACCAAATCACAATGATAACAATGACATAAAGTAAGCAGGTAATGCAGACAGCCCGAGGGCCAGTCAGTGACTAAATACATCATCCCTGAAAGTTTGATCAAATCCTAATTGATGTTTTGGCAATTACGACCTTTGAAATTTTGACTTTAAACTGTAGCATCCCCACTGCCTAAGAGAAAAGTAGTGTTTATCCATACTGGTTGAAATAGGACAATTCAGAACAACTGAGCATTTGAATTTACAGCTATGGGGCTGATAATGCTGAAATAGAAAATGTTTGAGAGGTTTTTATTGTCATTTTTAAACTTTTACCAACATGTTGCCTCTATTGGGAAATATTGAAGCTGCTATGAATCCAAGCTGATCACATATGAAAGAGAAAATTACAAACTTTGCAGCCCCCATTCAAGACTACAGGCGTTGGGTGTTTCCACGCTTACATCCAACACAAATTTCTTGGCACCTGCATGACAACTATTTTACTGACATATTGGGGCAAAGTATTCAACATTTCAGATTCAGAAAGGCAAAACCTCACCTGATACTCTCTGAGAAAGCTGAGATCAGTGTTGTCGTCCATAGCAGAGGAAGACATGTCGACATGGACATAAGGGTTCAGCTCTGCAACCCGAGGACACACTGCCTCCACCCTGTGGTAGAAAAGTAAAAGAGGGTGGATAAGTATGTGTAAAAAGAGACAAATAAATTGAGGTAGAAGAGTTTGCATATGTGCATGAATTACAGGAGATGTGTGAGTGTATGATATTTCAGAGATTTTACCTCCTTCTCTGGCTCAACACATCCTCTTTGCGGATAAAGAAGTTGGAGCCCAGATCCCAGGTCTCACATTGCTTCGGGTCATGAAGGGTGACTGCCTATACACACACACACACACACACACACACAAAATATATAATAACTGAGGCCACAGGAAGAGCTACTCCCACAACAACACACATTTAAACACTATATACTGACACAGTGTTGGACAATCATGATATTTAGTGAAAGTGCATACCTTCACACCAGCCAGGACAATATTCTTTGCTGTGAAACCAGAAGTCAGGTTGTTTAGTGTCAAACCACAACTGACAATGCAGAACATATTAAGTACCATGACACTAAATATATCAGACTAAATGTGTGCAATAATGTGATATTTAACCTACCTATTTCAATTCCCAGTCCTCCCATTCCACTGAGAAAGACTGAGGACTGGGCCATCTGGTGCATAGCACTGTCTCCCAGCACATATCGCTGGCGGCTGGACAGAGGGAAAAGGAAGGAAGAGGAGGTGTGAGGGGAAAATACTTGACACATAAAGAAGGAAAAGCCAGGAGCACCAAGTTCCTCAACTGTACTGACTGCAGCATGAAGCGCAGCACTGCCGTGTAACATTATCTGTAGTTTCTAGGGCTTTATTTGGGGGAGACCACATTACACTGGACAGCATGAAGGGTAGACTTGCCTGTAAAGAGAGTCGTCAATCTCCATCGAGTCTGCAGCCATGCCGGGAGGGGAAGAGGGGGGAATTAAACTGTCTGAGAGATAACGACTATACCTATCAAAACACATAAAAGTACAGACAGCGATTACAAAAAGATATGAAACGCCCTGCTGTAAGCTAAACGGCTAACTCACTGATAAAGCTGACTAACTCTAGCTGGTTGTCAGCAATGTTGTTGACCTGACAGTCAGTCAGTCGTGCACCAAGGTAAAACTGACAGGGCCGTATAGTAACAGTTAAAAGATCACAGCTACCACGATAACGCTGAATCATAATATATGAACCTGCTGAAGAAAGCTCAACGTTAGCAGCTAGCAGCTAGCTGGCAGCCTGGAGCCGGTGGCGAGGACACATTTGTCATGAACTCGTTAAAAGTGATGACACACGCGTTGAGCTACGAATAACTCTCCAGAGAATACGGCTACTTTAAGTTTCATCCTCCTGCTAATCAGTGTGGACATTTTCTTTGTACGTGTTTCTGAAATTAAACGAATAATCGATCGTAGCTACCTGTCAGTATGCGCGACGAGCTTTAGCAAATGAATGGTTGTGACTGGTTAAAAACTTGGAGTGTTTCCGGGTTACCGCACTCACGTGACCGAGGTCATCCAATAGAGTGACAGTGTTTTTCAGGACTACATTTGTGATGAAGAATGTCACTTATTTATTTTGGGAGTGTTACCACTTTTTCTTTTTCTCAGATATTGCGTGTTAACATTTTCAGAATACAAATCAGAAAGAAAAACTATTTTCACAAATTTACTGTGCTGTCCCCATACATCAGTAGCATATAGGGGCATTATTGTTAAATATCAAGAAAAAACAAGAGAGAAAAGCAAAGAAAAAGAGGAAGTGCAGTGTGGGATACATGTTATGATGTACAGATTAATTACATTAATTGAGGTTTGTCCAGTTTTGAAAATAGTTTAGAAGAGGCTGTCAGATCCTATAAAACTGTGGACGACAAGGCTTGGGTTAGGGTGCTTTGAGCAGTTTGGATTTGGTGTGGCTTTATTATTCTCCAACTAGCATTTATAAGGTACTGGAACAGTCCTTTTCAGTCTGAGAAGAATCATTTAATTTTCAATGACTCATTTGTTTGATTATCAATCTTCTTATCTTAGTGGGACAATATCTTTTTCATAAAACACAATCATCAACAAGAAAATCATTACTTATTGTTATCAAGAATGATTTAAAACATATTTTAATGTCGTTGATAAGTGTAATATTAAAAATCTATTTAAAACCTTTAAAAGATCAGATATATTTTGTGTTGTAACATTGTCTTATTTGTAACTTTTATTTATTCTGTTTATATATTTTTTGTATTATTTGTTTTTGTTTTATACATGCGTGTATATGTAAACCTGTTTTAGACCTCAGTGCTCAACCGTTTGACTGTCCTGTGACAATGTGGTATCATTTGAAAAACAACAACATAGCAATGTGTTAATCTTGATTGCTGAACCAGTTCCAACCAGAGAGACAGAGCAGAAAACACAAAACAGGGTCTGGGTCCTCCACTGTTTGAAGAAACAAAGGTCAACAGCCGAGTGAAACATTTACATCCTACTGCCTCCCAGTCTGGGGGATGATGTAAGGAAAACACAGACTGCTGTCTTTAATACTTTTGTGTAATTTGTGTCTGCGTATGTATGTGTGTTTGTTAGTGTGTGAGAGTCGGAGAAAGAAAAAGAGTTTGTGAGTCTTTGTTTTGTATCTGTGATTCAAATTCTATCTAGATGGAAGTGAAAATGACCTTAAATGTAACTTAATCCCAAAAGCCAGACAAAGATTTGAATCAGTGATTTTGTGTTTAGCTGTCTGGGGCAGTATCCCTCAACTCAGACACCCTCCCTCTCATCATATTGGTCAAAGACACTCACAGGACCCTCCCACTGAACTAGAGCCAAAATCATGCACATGCACACAACAGACTCCAAAGTACTACTTTCACCTCTCGGACACCTGCCCACAGGTTTACTCTCTCAAGGCAATGTGGTGCAGTCGTATCGCACTGCGTCGGTTCCAGCGGATTGCTGTTACTCCTTTGAATATCACTGGGGGTCTAACAAGCAACGTGCAGAGGGAGATGTCAACCCTGCCACGGGTGTATGTCACCCGACAGATCCCACCTGAGGGCCTGAAGATCCTCCGTGAATCTGGACAGTGAGTCATGGTGGCTTGAAAATAAATGCTTTTTATAAACCGATTAATGGCGTAATATAACTGATTTGACTCTGATACCTTTCCGAATTTTGAAATGTCTGCTTTGTAAGGTTCATCATTTACTTTGAGTAAACAGGGTTGCTAATGTTTGCCCTGGTGTTAGTTAGATAAGACTGGTAGCCTAAAGGGTATTCCCCCATAGCAAAGTTGAACCTTAAAGATCCAATGTTTCTGTGAAGGCATGTGATAAAGCTTGATACACTGTATATCTTAGTAGGAACTTTAACTGAAGATTCAACAACCAATGAATTTCCTTCTGTGGATAATTAAAAAACAAACTGATTGGATTTGGCTCCTAAGGTCACGTTTTCGGTTTTCCCAGGGTGCAGTTTGAGCTATGGGACTCAGACGACGCCCCCGTGCCCAGGAAGGAGCTGCTTCAGAAGGTCAAAGGTGTTGACGGCCTGGTCTGCGTGCTGACAGAGAAGATTGATGCAGAGTTGTTGGATGCTGCAGGTGTGAGGAAAGTCTCTGAGTCAACTGAGTGACGAATGCAGTGGAAACCCCTCTCAAATGTGTATATGTGTACCCCTGCAGGTCCGAACCTGAAGGTCCTCAGTACGATGTCAGTGGGTTTTGACCATCTCTCTTTGGACGAGCTGAAGAAAAGGTGTCTCCTATCTTTTTATTTCTTGTATGTTGTTGTGTATAGTAAGACATAGTGATGGAGACTTACTTACAGTGACACCCCAACCCCTCAAAAAGCTTGTTAATATTCAAACATCTGGTGACATGTGTATAACATAAGTTTTCCCCCAGAGGGATCCGTGTGGGTTACACGCCTGATGTTCTGACAGATTCTGTGGCTGAGCTGACGGTGGCTCTGCTGCTCACTACCTCCAGGAGGCTCGTAGAGGCCACGCATGAAGCCAAGACGTAATGTTACACGCACACTCACGCACGCACACGTACTTAAATGTTTTTTGGGTCAAACGTTAAATACATCTCCCTCTCGTGCCAGTGGTGGCTGGGGCACATGGAGAACTCTGTGGCTGTGTGGATATGAGCTCGCCAACAGCACTGTGGGTATCCTGGGTCTGGGGAGGATTGGTGAGCGTACAGTTTTTGAAACGCTGCACATAACATGCACGTCACTGTCGAGCAGCATTTTCTGTAAATCTGATGACCTCTCACACGGTGTCTTTGTGCTCTAAGGTGTGGCTATTGCTGAGCGTCTTGCACCTTTCAAAGTAAAGAAGTTCATATACACAGACATAGCCCCCAGACCTGAACTGGCCAGTATCATCAATGCTGAGTATGGTAAGCATTATAGATGTCTCATGTCAGCATGTTATGTTGTTATAATCAACCATTTTATTTTAACACGATAACACCATTGGCACTGTCTCTTCTAGTGTCTTTTGATGAGCTGGCAAAGCAGTCTGATTTCCTGACTGTGTGCTGTGCTTTAACGCCGGAGACAAAGGAGATATGCAACAAGGATCTCTTCTCCAAGATGAAAAATACCTCTATCTTTATCAACACAAGCCGGTACCCTGAATCGGCAACTTCAACTAACTTCAAACTAAATGCCACCTAATCTTACTGGTCCTGGTAGATACTGTGCAAAATGGCCCCTTTACAGAGCCTTCAATGTACCAAAATACAATTTTTATCTTATTCAGATAAGATAATAATTTGTACACACTGCACTGCAATAAGATAAAAAATACGTTTTGTGGGACTTCGGTACAAGAATACCTGACTTAAATCCCAGCATAGCATAGTTAAAACACCTGTTAGGGTACGTGGGGCCTTTAATCTATAACAATGCATCATATTACATAAGCTGATCAGATAGTTTGTGTGTAAAGTCAAAGTAACTAAGAAGTGAAGCAATTAAATAAAGGAAATTTTCCCTCTAAAACGTAGTGAAGTAGAAGTATAAAGCAGCATAATAATAATACTACTTAAGTTAAGTACAAGTACCTCAAAATTCTACTTAAGTACAGTACTTGAGGTCAGTGCAGGCTAATTCAGCCTTGTGTGCAGTATCTGTGTTCTTCCTGTGTATGTCTGTAATTCTGGTCCGTCTGTTGTGTCAGGGGCGGTGTGGTGAATCAGGAAGACCTGTATGAAGCTCTGTCCACAGGGCAGATTGCAGGAGCTGGGTTAGATGTCACGGTTCCTGAGCCCCTCCCCACAAACCACCCACTCTTTACCCTCAAAAACTGTGGTAAGTGTCAGACTTATTAGTGCTTCAAATGCCTTAAAAATAGTTAAAATGAAAAAACAAAGTTGTTTTTTCAAGAAACCCATTAAGGTAAAATCACTGTGCTCAGTTCTCACTGCCTAACATTTGTCTGTTTAATTCTCTCCTCCCACAGTGATTCTCCCACATATTGCTAGTGCCTCCTATACTACCCGTAATGCCATGTCTGCCCTGGCAGCAAACAACCTCCTCCTCGGCCTGCGGGGTGAGCCGATGATCAAAGAACTCAAACTGTAAAAAAAAAAAAACGGGTTCCACTCTGACAACTGGCTGAATACTGGACTCAGTATCTAACTCATGTATCTAATTATTCTTTAGAGGATTCAAATAAAACCTGGACTTTAAGTGTGTCATGGTATGTTTCCTTATTTGCTTGAGTTTTAGTTTTGTACATTTTGTTTATTCTTGTATAATCTCTGTGCTGCTTTAGCTCGTGTTCCATGAAAATGTCACCAGCAACAAAACTGAATTTCTTTGTTTTTTTTTATTCAGTCTATACACCAACCGAACATACTATACAATCTTTATAGCCTTCAACAGTAAAGAGACAAACATTTAGTCCTCTCATGGTTACACTATGTTAGTTATACAGAAAAACAAACAAACACAGAAATACTTTAGATTTGGCATATCAACAAAAAGCCCAGCTTTTCAAGCTAGAGGGCATAAGGCAGTGACTTCCATAATCAATTTAGGCCTTTTATATATTTTTAAAGTTTGGCATATTCATACAGGGGTAATACAGTCAGTGCATTTTTCAGAGATTCACATTAACTGTTTAAGCAACAGCTTTAGAAGACAGCACCATAACAATCCTTAACAGGCCACTGTGTGAGACATGGAGGATGTTTTGGAGGACTACATCTCCTTCGCCTCATCACCTGTACAACTCGGTATTTCTCAAGAGGATATTCCAGTAGGGAACACAGGAACAGACGTCAGATTCGGGATTTAACCACCAGTGATCATTTTAAAATTCTGTGGCCGCGCTTCAGCGACTTTACTATCAATCAAAGTATAAAGAAGTACAGGGCAAACGGTAGGTTAGCTTATGTTTACAGGGCAAACATCCTACAAGGCAATTATTCTTCTGAAGTTAAAAAGTCCGGATTATCCATTAACATATGTTTCAAATAATATAGTCATTTTGTACAGGCTAACAGTGTGATGACTCTACAGTACAATAAGGTGCAACTAGAAATGGAAGCAATGACCATGTGTTTCTCATAGACAGTGTAGGCGACACAATACAGCAAGCAATAAGGTATACGAAAAGGCAAACATGTATATAAAGTGTTATTTTTTTCCATTTTGGTTCACTGACACAGAACTCTACAACACTGCATGAACACAGATTTCAATTAACCGACTGTCTACCAATGAAGCTGCTCCTATTTACAACCCGCAGGAAGTCAGGCATCCAGAACTGAGCTGATGTAGAAATCCTTTATATGATAAGCTGCGAATTTAGATTACTTCTCAGCATGTTTGTATTTTTTTTCTTATGCAGTTCGTCAATTGTAAGAAAGCTGTCAACCTTACATTAAAATACAGGTAACATACATAAAAAAACAGCTAAAACTCCTGAAAATAACACTGACAGGACATTGACCCTATAAAATTATTTTTTTAAACGTGTATTAGTAATTCACAAACTGTGGAAGTTGTATGTTATAGATCACCTGCTAGCAAAAATGCTACAACCCTTAGCTTGCAAACTCATCCTGATAGTAGTTTAACGGAAAGAGTTAGTAAAATTGGATAATCGCAATTAAGCAACGTCTTCACATTGTTCAACATTCCAGTGATAAAAAAAAAAAAGATTTGTCTAAGTGCTTTTGTGAGAGATACATTAAATGTATAAAGCACTGATATCAAGTACAGTAGCAAACTTTTGTTCTTCATGAGTTGTTTTGTCTCCTCCGAAAAAAAAATGATGAAATCAACCACAAATGTGCAATATTTACGACTCTACCTCTCAGTGAAACTTCATTGTCCTTTTTAATAAACATACTGTACACACAAGAACACCGGCGACCAGGGAAACTTAGCTGATGTGTCTGTGGATGGTCAAGTAAACTTGTTGGCCACAGCTGAACTTCCTGTGGTCATTCTCAGTCAGTAAGGACGGAAAGTCACTTAAATCTCATATCTTATACAGACCACAACTACTTGCCAGTTTTGCACATCATGACACAAAATAAGGTGCATTTTCCCGTGAAGTTGTTATCTGGGTATTAAAACAGCATTATAATGCATCTCCCTCTGCTTGCTGTGATTGGTTTGTGCCCCTAAACAATGCAGATTAATTCCAGGGTTAACAGATCTGCCTGGCAAGCAAATTGTGGTAAAAGGTTGATTAGCACAATTCAAAGTTTCCCATTTCTTCAAAACTTGCATTTGACAAACTACAGATATAGATCTTTCTAAGCGAGACATTTATTCCTGTAGTCACATCAAGTGTGAAGGCCCCATCAGTGCAAACTGAATTAGCTTGCCAGTGACCAGACATATTCTGAACTTTAACTGAGCCGAGCAACACTTCTGTTGGTGAGAATTCAAAGGCAGTGTTGGGCTAGTTACTCAGATTTTTTTATTTATTACTAGTAAGTCTTTTAAGAAATATTATTACTTTACGTAATACTCCCTGCCAACAGTAATTAGTTACACTAATAGTTATATTACTTTTCTGCAACTCCTAATGAAATTGGTCATTGTGTCCTTTCTCCCAAAATCTAAGTAATGGGAGCTGGAAATATTCCATTAATAATTAATTACCCTAGTAGTTAAAGTCTTATTATTACTGTAATATTATTACTAGTAATGACTGCCCAACACTTTTCAAAGGTGCTTTGGACTGAAAGGCAACTATAGAGGTCAAAAATCTCACATCAGTCGAATCAAAGTGTTTTTAGAAGTTACAGTTACTGTTACAGAAGTTATACATTTTGGCATTACCTAGACCTGACAACCTCACAGGACTGAATCCGACTCTATCCACCTTTTTGTACAGTAGAGTAAGCATCAAGAGCACACACCCATCAACACCTCTTACAGGCATTAAATCTGGCACACAAACTGAATCTGAATCAGTTCATCCATAGTCTGTACGACTATCCTTGCACCGAATGAGGCACAGTCAATGAGCACGCTTACGATGACTCAAAAGTGTGATGTGGGATGCTGCTACATGTTTTACAAATGTGCAATGAAAAATCTACACATAAGGACAGATATTTTACATGACATTTGTTCTTAATGTTGGTGCTGCACAGCTGCCTCTGATCTGTAACCACTCAGACTGAGTGTTATAATTATATATAAATTTGCTTCAATGAACGTACCTCAAATTAGATGTTTAGCACTGAGGGCTCACCTCAACAGATCTAAACTTCACACATATAAAGCCACATATATATATATATATGTATATAGCATACATATAGCTAACAGTGTGGCAGCTTCAAAACCCAAGTCTAGACTGGCCCGGATCACATTATGTAAAGTCCATTGGCTGCATGTATTGAAGGACAATCCTCATAATACTCTCATGATATTTGTACAGGGGAGAATACAGTGTGTATCTATGGTACTCCATAATGAATCCATAGCAATAAATGTGGCACCTTTGTATGTCCTGCATCCCTATAATCTTTCTACCACCTAAATGTCTTTATGATAACTTTCACTGATTTGATAGTGTGGGTTCCTCCTGGAAAAGGAAATGTATGGTTACATTATTATCCCTATCTTTGGTCTGTGATCAGGACCGGTTAATTTGGACAGAACATCTGTCACAGCTTCAGAAAAATCAAAACGTTGTCGGGGCAGCCCGTCGCTGATTCCTAATGAGTCCTACAGCAGGGCATTGGACATGTTACTGTTCTGCCAGCGCAGGCAGGTGGTCTTGGAATGCTTGTATAGGTGGGAGGACTGGCTGAAGCGCTTCCCACACTTCAGACATGCGTACGGTTTCTCTCCTGTGTGGACGCGGATGTGTTTCTTGCAGTCAGTCAGCGTGAGGAAGGTTTTGCAGCAGATTTTACAGGCGTATTTCCGAGCCCCCTCAACCACCAAGACGTTATGCTCCGACAGAGCTTTCTTGCACTTTGACAGGACATCGGCTGAAGCTCGGGTCAGCTGAGGGGGGAGGGAGGTGGGCCTGCCACTGTTCATCTCATATCCACCACTCTTGTTTAAAAGCAGGGGACCAGCCAGACTTGAGGACGAAGAGGCGGCATCCTGGAGAACGCTGCTTACTCCTTCTTCTCCCCCCATGCCGGTGGCCATTTTTGGAGCAATACGTCTGTAACCTGGATAACCCAGAGCGGCGGCAGTCGTTCCTGCTGCCCCTCGTGACGGTCGACCCAGGGAGTGAAGTCCCAGGCTGGAGCGCTGGAAGTCCAAGCCAAAGGGATCTACCCCGCCACACCCTCCACTACCACTTCCCCCACTTCCTCGAGGGTTCCCTAAACCATCATGAAGGGGGCGGAGAAATAGAGAATCAGCTTGCAGATTGTCTCCGAAACTGTTGCGACTCTCACCACTGAGAGGACCCGACTGCAGAAGAGAGGAAGAAGCCGAGCCGGATGGACCAGCAGCTTCCTGTCTGAGCAGGAAGTGATGTGCTACCGCATCTCCAGTTGTTGTGTTGGGGAGGTCGTCCTCTCCGGCAACCAACCCTGTCCCGCCACTTCCGAAATCCTTCGGGTTGAGGAAGCTAGAAATACTAAAACCAGGTTTGCCACTCAGTCCGTTATTACACCCAAAACCTCCTCCGACTCCGGCGCCTCCTCCCATGCTGCTCTTGAGGAGAAGCTGCGAGCTGGGCTGCAGCAGAGAGTCAGAGCTGGGTTGGGGCTCAGAGGTGAAGCTTCGGTCACTGCTCTCTGGGCTCAGCTCCGCCTTCTCCTCCTCCTCCTGGCCGCCGGGCTCAGCCGGGTCGCTGCCTTCAGCCTGCGATGTCACGTCGCTGATTTCATCTGTTGGTTCAGGCGAACTTAATGGCTCTCGTTTAACCACCACCTATGTAAAGCAAAAGGAGGAGTTTCATCTAAGGCCAAAGGAGGATTTTGAAAAAAAGTCAAGGAGCATGCAAAGACAGCAGCGAGTCACTTACATGTGCATGTAGTGTGAAATTCTTTATACTCTTGGGTAACATGTACACTTAAATCTCACAAATATGCACCTACTCATATCAACAGGTGGCCTTCATCAGGGTAAAATAGGGGATTTATGATGTTTGTGCAGATAAGACAGTTTTATAGCATGAAAATGTTGCTGCACGAGGCTTAATGAGAGTTAGTTATTTTGTCACAAACAACAAATCAAGCCACAACTTTACCTTCTGTTCTTCGACCTCTTCCTCCTCTTTCCCTGATTTGATCTTCACCCCCGCTCTATTGTCCTGGTGGTCCTGCTCTTCCATGTCCTCCTCCTTGCTCACCCCTCCCTGCATTCTCCCCAAGTCCTCCCCCTCACAATGCCCACTGTCCGACTGGCTGGGCATCTGAGGATCATCTTGGGACACCGCTACCAGGCCAGTGATTGCGGCATCCAACTTGGACTCATCTCCCATCTTGTGTGAGTCTGGGGAGAGTAGAGCTCCTTCCTCTCGCTCTGCGTTCACCCCTCCTTCTCCTAACAACCCCAGGTTAGGGCCGGAGGGGCGCTGCCTCTGCCTGGGTCTCTCCTCTGACAGGCCCAGGGCCAGAGACGGCTTGCGTTTGTGGAAGCGTCGGATTGGGAAGGAGGCCCTCTGTTCAACCACTCCTCTGCCAACTCCATCCTCCTCCATCCCACCCAAAGCAGAGCTCACTAAGCTGAGCCCCAGCTGCTGCAGGAGGAAGGAGCGCTGCAACTTTGACGTGGCAGCGTTTGCTGCGAGGTTAGCATTAGCTGCTAGGGAAGGGTTCACTGCTAAATCTGCTACTTGTTGCTGCTGCTGCTGCTGCTGCTGCTGCTGCCGGTGCCTCTGCTGCTCCTGGTGAGGGTGGTGATGGGTGGGTCTGTCGGATGTGGGGGACATGGGCAGGGTGCGTGTGGTCAGGTAGTGTTTGCAGGCCTTGACCACATTGTTGAGGTGCAGATGTGAGGCCGCAAGGAGGATATCCATGACGTTGCTCTCCCCCAGCATCAGTGTGGAGGTGTACATCATGTCCACGAGAGCGGCAAAAGCTTCAGCTGTTACCACCTGCAAGTACACAAGCAGTGATTTATCTTGTCTGCAGTTCAGTAGTAGAATTACTATCAATGCTATTATTATCTAAAGAGTCACTCTGTCCTCAACTCTCACCTCCTATTACCACTATCATCACACTCTTCTCCATTCTCAGCCCTATAAATATTAACTTAATAGCCTCCTTGCCCTCTTTTATACAATATTATGAAGACCCTAACCTCACTGTCCAGCTGGATCATATTCATGCTTGCATCCCCCTCTGCAACGGTAAACAGGGCTCTGAAGTGGGTGCTGCAGGCTGCCAGCACTGAGCGGTGGGCCTTGAAGTGTCTGCTGCCCACCACAATGACACAGTCGCACAGCTGACCATGGACACGCTGATAGTTGAGCTGCTGGAAGATCTGCTCAAAGTGGCCCGGGAAATCCATGGCCCTGGAGACAGCAGAAGGTTAAAAGGTTGAAAGGAGCTAAACGGGGAGAGGAAACAGTTTTGATAATCAACCAGAAATGCCAAACATTTGCTGCAACATCATCTCAATTTTGATTCTTTTCTCTGTCATGTGTTATAGTAAACTAAACATCTCTTAGTTTTGGATTGTTGCTAAACAACGGAAACACTGATGAGCATCTTTCACTATTTTCTGATATTTTATAGACCAAATGATCAAACAATTAACCAGGTAACTAATCCACAGATTAACTGTTAATGAAAATAGTCTTTAGTTGCAGCCTTAGATTGTGTAATGATGATGGAGGCCTGTAGAAACAGAACAGATGGAGTTAAAGGAGATGTTAGGCTGAGGTTGTAACAGGTGAAGGTGGTTTTCATGTGCCACTTTTTGCTTGAGATGGTGGTGGATATTGTTTTTTTGCAAACTGTGACAAAATAATCTGTAACTGTAGTGGGATCAAATGCATCATTGCTTGATCTCACAGACAAAAAAATAGGCCTGCAAAACTTCCAGTGAGATGATTAATCAATGTGCACCAAGAGCAACTGAATCCCTTCCTGCTATAAAGTTACATGCTGTGATTTAACTTGCACTCCAGCTAGTTCCCCTGTTGACTCATGCTTAATGTAGTTAAACCACATTGATAACACCGTGGCTACAGAGCATAGCCGCGGACTGAGCACTGGAATAACGTTAGGTGCATCTTAGATAGTTAGCTAAGGTAACTAGCAACATAAGCAAAAACAAAGAACTCTACTGTAATGCCTGAGAGATCAGACAGCCAGTAGCAACTAACATTACCTTGGGGTTTTCCAGAAAGCGTAGGTAACAAGAGGCAGAATCAGGGCTCGATGACGCTAAAGTTAGCTGGCTATCTGACCAGCAGGTTGGCTGTTAGCTACAACAGAAGCGGTAGCATTGGTCTGGACCGCTTTGTCTGTTGTCATTGACAAAACATAACTAGTCTGTATCGAAGCAGCTTTGTTTCTTCTTCCTCCATCAAACGTAGCTAGTCAACATTTCTGCTGCACGTCCCACCCACCCCCTCCCTCCCTCCGTGGTCCACACACTAGCCGACAGTTCACTCGCATTGAATGGTTTGTGGCTGTGGAGGCGAGAGCTGCCAGTGATGTGAGCTAACGCTGCTGCTGGTCTCCTCCGTCGGTGTCATCCTCCCACACACAGTCACATACAGCACGGAGGTCAATACAACCGAGTACAGCCCGTCGGTATCTCTCCGGGTCTGACCTGAATGTGTGTTACGACTTCTAGTATTTCAACCTATCACCCTCAGACGGGTTTTTTTCCCCACCAGACTCACAGGGTGGCGCTGTGCTTCACTTTCATGTCCGTGACCCTCGACGAGGTGAAGGGCTGCAGTTATACGTCTCACCGCAAGATGGCGCCGCTGCGTAGCCAAAGATTATAGAGAATGTCAAGATGTTTGTTCTGATTACCCTGATTATGATTATTAGAATCAGAGTCACTTTCATTGGCCGGCTATGTGTACATATACAAGGAATCTGACTCCGGTTTTACGTTGCAGTCAATGAACGTACACACAATAGCGTAAATAAACAGCACAACAAACTTACAGGAGTTATTATTTTCAATAAAACTATTATGTTTCCGCTAATATTTGATAGAATATATGTATGATATGTAGATTCTCGCAGACTAAACCCGAATTGGTTGAAAAATCTTCAAAGGTAGGAGAGCCGACAATATCAGTCGCTTATATAAGCCCGTTTTGTAACTATGGCCCGAACCCATGACAGCCTGAACCAGAATTTTGACAAACCCGGAAGTACAAAGGAGTGAACCCTCTTGGCTCACCTGGAAACTCATGACAACAACTATGGCCGCCTCCTGCTCGTTGGTGTGTTGTGGAGAGGAGAGAGATTCCGACAAAGCTGTTATTGGTGACTATCTCTCATTTGTTGGTTGTCGAAACTATTTAGAAGAATATTTTAATTTCAATTGTGTCTGTAAATGTTGGCTCGTGCTTATTTTCTTTATTTTAAACACCCATTTATATTGCACACGTGGGTGCTAGCAACGTGGCTAGTTGTTTAGTGTAGTGGTTTTCACAGAGGAGTTGGACAGTAGGAAAACCTTATTCATACATGTGTTTTACCTTGTTAGTTTCTGCTTGCGTTACTGCAACTTAATCTTCACTTGTCCTAAATGTATATATACACCATGATGCAGGATTTGTACATGTTAAAAACTGTGTGTATTTTAAACTATCAATATACATATAGATATATATATATATATTATGTTTCTCCCTCTCACAGTCCGCTTTTCAAACGGGAGCGTCAAAAATGCTGACACACTGCATTTCACGATGTACAAGAACGCAGATGAGAATAACCCGAGGAAGAAGAGCAGACGAATGTTGGTGAGAAAGATGAAGAACTTCTTATATCCTCAGTACTTTGTATTTGCACATCTACAAGACTTGTTTATGTTTTCCTCCTTTAGGTTGCTGAATCAGACAGACTGTCCTATGTTGGAACTAATTTTGGAGCGGGGTCTTTGAAATGCAACAACCTTTGCCAGTAGGTTAATATTTTGACATATTGTGACTTTTGCAAAGTAATAACTGTGAATATAATTAATAAGTAAGGTGTTTGGTGTTTGTTTAGATATTATGTAGGTGTGTTGAACAGGCAGACCATGCAAATGGAGGTGCACAATGCTCAGCTCTTCAACATGCAACCTGATATACCAGGTAAAAGAAAAGAATTCAGCATGTATTGATAATTGATTATGGGTGCTTATAAGGCGTCTACATAGCCCAAGTTACTGATAACTCTACTAAAAACCAGATCATCATCTTTTTTGTAAGGAAATTGTTTGGTGCTTTTGTCAATGCAAATGCACTTTATGTATTTGTGTTTTTTTTTTTTTTATCAGGAGAGACAACAGAGACTGCAAAACCCCAGGACACTACTCAGACATACAGAGATAAGGTACAATGTTTTGTTTTTCCTAGGAATAAGACTCGGCCCAAATAAGAAGGAATACATTTGCTATTAATGTCTTCATCTTCTGTTCCAATTTCTCTTTAGGTTGACTCTTTGATTGAGGCGTTTGGCACCAACAAACAGAAGAGAGCTCTGAGCTCCCGCAGGCTGAATCAGGTGGGCAGTGACACCCTGCATCAAGCAGTGGCTAAAGCTGCCAACACTGTGATTGACCAGAAGGGACTAGAAGGTAAGTTACACAGTCACATTGTCCAAGTGGGGTATAGGGAAGTCAGTAGTGTAAAAATCATCTACTAGTCACCTGAGAGCTCATCTTAAAGATATCCTTAAAGGGTAACTTAGGTATTTTTCCACCTGGATCTTATTTTTCCTTGTTTTGTTTCCAGAGTGATTAATGGAGACAACAAGTTTTGAATTGTATCCAGTATCTTTTTGTTCCCTTTACTTGATCCGCTGTGTGTGTAACTAGTCTTGCTCAAGGCGAAGTCTTGTTCTGAGTTCTCGAGAGAGGTGAGGTGACTTGTTGCAGGAAGACAAAGGTGGAAACGTGAGCGTAGTAACGCCGGCCAGGAAGAGTGATGTGCAAGATTTTCACTGTCATAACTGAATATTTTGCTGATTTGAGGCCTTTGAATTTGTTGCCCCCATTACTCACTTTGACACAAAAACTTGGGAGGCCGACATTGAAAAAGTTTCCCTTTTAAGTATCTGGCAGATTGAGTTGTCATCTTTTTCTATTCTTGTTCAGTTTGTTTATTCATCATTTGTTCCATCTATTTCTCTTCTCTCTCCTCTCAGCTCTACAACAGGAAGTGGCTGAGACAGAGTCCCAGGGAGATCTTGCTATCCACCTGCCTCCCTGCAATGCAGACGCTGACAGACCTGAGAATGTCTACCTGTATGATGATCGTATCCTTCAATGTGTGTGTGTGTGTGTGTGTGTGTCTCAATAAGAGAGTGAAAGAACAGTAGATGGTGGAACAAATATTATTGTTGCAGAGGAATGTTTACTTCGTTCAGGTCTCCATCCTTAATCGATATCTGCAGTTTTGAGTCCAGTCGAGTTAAATGCTTTGGAGCAGGCTGGTTCCAAGATGGCGGCGCTCACCACTGAGGAGCTGCAGAAGATGAGAGATGACGGAGGGTAGGGAGACAAAAGACCCACACTTGCTGAGACATTTTATGAAGCTAAATTTTTTCCCCCTTGCGTTCTAATTTGTGTTTGTACTTTTGTATTTAAGGTGCTTGTGTGTTGTGAAGATCCTGGAGAACATGCCAACTGTAGATGAAACCAGAGATAAAATATCACGCAACGCCTTTTACCTTTCTCTGCTCCTCAAAATGGCCCGGCAGAAAAGCATCACCCGCAAGTGTGAGTAATGTTGTTTGCCTCTCATTGTAGATGTTTTCTTACACCTGTCTCTGGAGCACAGACTTATTGTGATGTATGTTTTTTTGTTTTTTTTTTTTTTTTTTTTGTATCCAGTTGGGCAGGAGGAAGGCTGTCCTCGCATCATTCAGAGCAAACTGTTGAGAACATTCACTGTGGAGACTTTCAACAATGGCAGGTACGATGGTTATGCAAGTTTCAAGTCATCTTGTGAAATGTCTGCATTGGCTGCATTTGCTTTGCACCTGGTGAATGCATGTATTTCAGAACCACTGGGACATGTCCGTGATTTGATTTAGTTGGATTGCATTCGCAGCTGTTAATAATCCAGGGAAATCACTTTTCACTTTGCCTGTCAAATTTCAGCGTTCCATGAACCAAAATCCTATGATCTCTCTTGTAGTGTTTGGCACCACTTTCCACAGCCAGATCGCCCTTTGTCTGGCTGGTTTGGCTACTCAGTCTTGCATACATACAGACATAAATGTCACTTTTTCACCTCAACTTTTCTTTTCAGGGTCCAGAACATGGTGTCTTCATCAATGCGTGCAAAATTAGCAGGTTACTCCCTCGCCCTGCTGCTGCATGTGGGTCACATGACCGCTGATCTTACATTACTTCATCGTGACCTGGGAATTAGTGAGGCCAGGTAAATAAAAAGGCTGCATTTGTATATAGAAACGTTCGTATTGACATTAAGGGGAATTTTAAAAGACCAGTGTGTTGGACTCAGTGGCATTCATGGGTAAAGTTCTTGTATTCAGGTGATTATGCTCTAATGAAAATATACCTATGAATGTTATATTCTATTTCTACCAATAGATCCTGCTTAATGTTACACACTGGACATTAAAGAACAATATTGTTACAACATATAATTAAGGTCAACGGCATCAACTCTGTTGGATGTATTGATCCACATAAAACACTGTCAATATAAGGTTTATTAGACCTCTTCCAGTATATACAGTAACTGGTTTTTTTTTGTTTTCATGTCTTCCTATAGGATGACTGAAGTAGCAAAGTCAATGGGACTGACCCTAATAAAACCAGCCCGGGGTAAGTCTAACGAGGATGGACTGCGAGATGAACACAGGCACGCATCCCTTGTTCTACCTCTGGTAAAATACGATCAGTTCATGGAGAGAAGGAAACGCAAGAAAATGCACTGAAGATCGAGATATGAAAAGACAAGAATCGGATACAGAAATCCCACAAAACAAGAAAGTTTATTAATGTATTTTGTAGACAAATAAAGTGGAGAACTTTGAATTGTACATGTTCCTTAATGCGTACTGTGCAAGATACAAAAAAAGCAGAGTAATGAGCCGTAACAAATTCTAGATGACAGAAAACATCTTGGCTTAAAAAAAACAAAAACAAAAAAAACCACAATTAGACGTATAGGCACATTTGTAGACAGCACATATTGCACACTGAACACCTTTCCTTCTATAGCTGGCTATTACCGGGTGAGTCTGTGGTTGTGTCACTGTGCAGTGTGTTGATGGTATCTGGAATGGTAACTTGTCCTCCCTCGCTGAATTTCACAAAGTCAAAGAAAGCTGAAGTGCATCACGTTCTCAAAACAACACTGAGGGCAAGATACCAAAAACAGACTCACCTGGAAACAGCAGCTCTCTGCAAGAGGCAGAAGCTTAAGTTTGGCTTTGTTTTTTTGCATATACACCTCACACTATGACAACACCTCCCCTAGCTACAATCATTGATTGATTTTAAAAAGTCAAACAAGGCACAGCTTTACTTTGTAGCATGGTTGAAGCTGGCATCTCTGACACCTCTGGCTCCTGCTAGGATTTTTATAAATGTGCACGTCCTAACCAGTGAGTCTCAGAAGCAAACTGACAAAAACAAAGTCTACAGCAGTTCTGTACATGAATATGCACGTAAAAGGACATGATTAAGTTAAAGCTTCAGTATGGAAATGGTTGTTTAAGACGATGAGTTCATGTGCTTCACTTCATTAGTCAACATTTGACGAGCGCATTGGAATTTTATCATAAACTTACAAAGTCTGATTTCAAATTTACAAAATGTTGTGCCACCCTAATGCACTGGAAGGTGGATGGCCCCTTTTTAGTGGTTATACTCGGAGCAGCCTCTTGCTTCCTGGACAGTTACTCCTCATCGGGAGGGCATCATTTTTGAAGGTCAGTGCTCCACATGTATGATGTACATAGTGACCAGATGCTGACATTTCTGGAAAGTCATTCATATTGGTTTCTGGAGTGTTCGGCAGGATTCACAGGATGGAGCAGAACATGCTGCCACTGTGGCAACCGCTTTCTACTGTGGCGCTGATCCTGGTCGTCATAGAAATTCCAAGTCGGGAAGGATATTGGGATGAGGAGAGGCCAGAGGGGGAGCTGGCCAGTGGACGAGGTGGAGGGTTTTCCAAAACCCAGGGAGGAGCAGATGTACAGCTACAAAATACAAAAGAGATAAAAATGAATCAGTGCAGATGTTAAACCTGCAAAACTGATTTGGCTAACAAGATGTAACCTCAGGTTTGACATATCACATTTTAAGATGACAGATCTCGACCAAGTCCTAAGGCAAGTATCTGGCTCCTCAGCTGCTCAGTGCTCCACTAAGATAAAATATTCCTTTATTTCCACTATGTTCAGATACAGAAAACAACTGCCTTCTGTGGCTGAACAGGATGCTATGAGATCAGTGAGAGTGAACCAAAATAGTAAAGTTGTGGGCTGGACATCTAAACATTGCACTGAAACTCTCTTTAAAGCCACTGTAAAGCCTAGCAGAGCTGTAGATTCAGGTATAATTTTGTGATAATTATCTATAAGTTCATCATTATAGGTGACCTCTTTCACACTCATTCATTTGACACATTGTTGTAATGTGATTATTGCTGCTTTCAGTGTGTGGACAGCAGAAGGAAGGGGAGAAAGAGCACAGACAGTAAAGCCTCTGGTGGTCTCTGAATCTCTGGCACTTTCTGTTGGTTGCCTAGTTACCTGTTATTATGCCTTAGAACACTGTTGTTGCGCAACACACAGCTCTCATTGCCAGGATCCATATGTAGCAGTGTTTTTTTGTTTCCAGGGTGGCCCTGGAACAGGAGATTGTCATGGACAACACCTTTTACTGGCCCTAGCACAGCGATTCCACAGCCCTGTGCTGGTTGGACACGGTTGCGCATTACCTAAAGATAAAAATGATAAAACCACAGAAAGGCTCATAAGTGATGTGTTAATATTTCATTATGTACAGTGCTGTAAAAGTAGACATCCCTCAGTCCATCTCACCTTGATGTCAGCACCGCCAGAGACTTGGATCCCATATCCCCGGTTTCCAACCACATCATTCTCCACAATCTGCCCGTTACCACTGAAACCGACACCGTGCCCACTGTTTTTATAAATTCCGTTGCCACGAAGCTCCACTCGGCAGTCCTTCTCCACCGTAACACCACCTCGACCATTTTCAAGAATGCAGTTTGTAACCAGTCGGGTCAGCTGACTGCTCTGCAGCACAGCAATGCCAGTGCCACGATTGCCGTTTACGAGGTTGGCGAAAACATTCAGGGGCTCACTGCTTTTCACATACAGACCAACTGCTGCAGAAAGGGAACGATGGAGAGAACATTAGAGACGAGAAGTGAGTGACTTTGACACTTAACACTACTCAACAGGTCTATTTATTACCTCCATTGTAGTTCATACAGTTGCTCTCCACCAGGGCCACACTGATAGAACGACGGGAAGAGTGGCGCTCATCCTCACTGTCCAGATCGCTCTCCCATGCAAACAGCTCCCCCTCTTCATTCAAGTTCTCCTGCCCTTCTCTCCCTTCTGCTTCTACCCCCCTCCTTTCCCCGCTGCCTCCTTCTCCCCCAATCCCTTCTTGCCCTGGCCAGTTCCCATCCCTGGCCTCAATGTTCTCTGGGTCCTTCCTGCAGAACACCGCCAGCCCATACATACAGTTATGGGTGATGTAGTTTCCCAGTAGCTGCGGGAGGCTGGACGACATAACCCACACACCACAGCCTTTGTTACCTGAAGAAACAAGAGGAAGAGGAGGAATTAAACATCTGTGCTATGGTCAAGTAATTAGTAAGTAGTAAAGACAAGATCAAAGATGAGCAAGTCAAAGTCAAGCAAGCATGTCAAGATAGGTGTGTGACATTGGTATTATCAGGCTGAAATGACATACAATAGACGTGGTTTCCCTCAATAAGTCCGCGACCTCTCTCTCCCACCACCACGCCATCCGAGTAGCCATAACAGATGTAGTTGTTCTTCAGGATGGGGTCACCTCCTCTGCGAATGTCCACGCCCCCCCACTGGTTCTCTTTGATCACATTCTCTAGAATTAAAATGTATTTATATGTTAACAAATCAGGGTTCGTATCCACAAATCATAATTTTAAGTGGCACAGTCGGACAGATCCACTTACACACCTGTTATAATCCCTCTGCCGTTCTCGTTTATAGCTATCCCGGCTGCCTGGCCCTGGAAGATGTGATTCCCACTAAAAGAGACAGTGAGGACAGAATATGAGTGACTATAAATATTGACCAAGTTCATATAGTTCACATATATAGTTCATATAGTAACCTATGCAGAAACGTGGGGCTAGACTTACTTACAAACTGCACCCCTAGCATCGCGTCTTACATTATGCAACACTGCTTACACCATACTTCTACTGTAAAACGCCACTGCACTGCAGCAGTCATGGAAATTATTATAAATTATCAAGCCACACACCAACAGTTTTTCATCTGAAGGGGGTTTTAAGGGTTGTATGGAAATTTGCATAAATGGTTGCTAATACAGAACGGAAACATGAAAATAATCTTGCCACAGGCCTTTTCACAAACAACATGTTGACATGTCACAGTAGGAAAAGCACAGCTGTAAATAATAAAATTAGTGTTTTCGGTCTCAGGGTCCTGGTATTGCATATGCTGGCTCTATGTCATGGCTTACTGGGAAACATTTACAACAAATTGTCTGCTGTAATAAAGGCCTGTTGTAGTCAAACACTAATGAGAGTACTGCAAAGAGCTCAAAAGCCCTCTGGCTGCCGTGTAAACAATGAATAATATCCAAGCGATGGGAAAAGCAAGAACTACACATTCCTGGGAAAGTTAGATGTTTGTTGAGTCCCACCTACCTGACCACAGGATTCCCGCTAAAGAGAATATACACGCCCGCTTCCTTGTTGTTAAAGATCTGGTTGCTCCGAATTGAACCTTTCCCATTGCCAAGGACAACCACCCCTGAACGCAGACCACTGTGTATTTTGTTGCACTGTGGAATGAAAGGGGGTAAAAAGGGTAAAAAAACGATAGTTACGATTTAATCCAATGTGAACTTCTATGCATCACTTTTACTGTGCTCACACAGCCAACAAATAAAACATGTCTTCAGACACATCTGCAGGCAGCCTTGTCAGTGTGGCTGAGGAACGATGTTAGTGCTCTTGTGAATTTTGGGATGGTGGAGAAAAGTGCTGTACTATAACTTTCAAGCATCCTGGTGTACACATATGCCTGAATTTAAAATAGAAGTGTAAATTGATTTTCTTGGTTTTGATATAGGCAGCCCCCAGCTCTCCAAATATCGGCATCGGCCGTTGAGAATCCGATATTGGTCGACCATTATTTCATACACACAGCATCCATTTTTCTTATGGACACCTCTTTATTTGCACAAAACAGCTTCTTCACTTCATTATTTGACAGCCTCCAAGCTCTAAAGTTACTGATAAAATGTAAAGGGCAAGGTGGCATACAAGAGCCCACAGCACTGTGATATGCTGTTGAAAGCTCTGTAAAAAGCTCGAAAGTTGAGGTTGTGTTAAGATAATTTTGTCAAACTTGGATATTGTTTGTTTCTTCCTTTAAAAAATCTGACTTCAACAGACCATGAGGCAGTAATTACCACGATGATGGGGTTAGCCCCTTTTCGGATGTCCAGCCCCGCCTCCCCATTCGAGTGGATGTTGTTTTCTGCAATGAGGCCCTGAGCAGAGAGGCGCAGGAACACACCTGATGCACGGCACTCACACACATCGTTTCTCAGCATCACTATCTGAAGAAGGGGAGAGAGAAGGAGAGGGAGCTCAAGTAACACTTTGAACAGGAAACTGCTGCTTAATTACTCATGATCTGAGCTACTTAACTTAATACATGACTCAAAAGGTACGTAATGCTGCCAATTAAAGTAATTGAACATGTGAAATTTTAATGTATTAAGATATATTCATGTGACACTCAATTAGTCTGATAAATGTTAATATGATCTTATTTACTGTGGAGTTCTGGATGCAGCGGACAGCATAGTTGAGCCCACGGAAAACATTCCCCTCCAGCCGAGCTTGTCCGTAATTGGATAAATGCACGCCACCCTTCCCTTCCCTGAAGAGGCAGCGTCTGAGGATACAGCCGAGGGTGGATGCTGCCAACATCTGAGCCTCTGGATCCCTGTCTAGTTCTTGCTGAAAGGTGAGGGGTTCAGGGGTCACAGATGGGGGATCCGGGGAGGAGGCTAATGGCAGAGAGCCATCTGGCCGGGGCTTGAGCAAATGGGATAGACCATGATGGTCACATGGGATTTTGTAATCCAATGTAAATTGATTTTTGGTGTTGTTAGTTCCTCCTCCATCTTGATTCTCCTCTTCTCCCTCGCTGCGGTCACCGTCGCTCCAGCAGTCTTCAATCACTGTGCCCTGACACACTGCATCTACCCCGGTCCTCCTCTGCCAGTCTTCTATGCTCACATGCTCCTTTTTGACATTAGCACCAGGAGGTTGATGCCCACCAGTGGAGCCAGCCAGACGGCCTCTGGGAGGGCTGTCGTTATTCCCAGATACGCTACATGACGGCAAAGTCCTGGCCAGGGCAGCCAAGTGTTTACAAGCCCAGTTCCTTTCTGAAACTGGAGGACCTTCAACAGTCACAGAGGCTGTGTCACTTCCAGAGAAGTCACAGCTGTCCAATAAACTGAGTACAACACCCAGCAAGTGGGCAGAGCTGCCTTGTGAGAAGGAGCAGAAACGAGCCTGGCAGGTTCCTGGGCCGCGGACTTGCAACTGAGCCCCCTCAAAGTTGCAGTTATCCAGTTGGACATGACCCCATGATGTCTAGAGCAAAGGAAGGAGATAAAGGTGATTGGGTCAAACAGATTCAGTATAATTGTGAGCTGAGAATAAGTGTGATTAGATTGATTTTATAAAGATATGATAGAGTGTGATGAGACGCTGCTGTACAAAGACACCATTTTGACTTTCTTCTTTACCTTATAGACCACAGTGGAGAACCAGGGTGGCATGAACACCAGATTACACAGCCTGGCAGTGGGGCACTGCTGCTCCATACACACCAGGAGGGCCACCTCACCCAATCGGCCCAGCCCAACCAGCTCCACAGGCACCTTCAGTGCCACTTCAGCCTGCTCCTCATATACCCCCGGATGGAGAACCACACGGTCATATGGCCCCACCACCCCGAGGGCCCCGCGAAGGGTCTCAAACTCGCACCCGGGCCCCACATGCCAAACCCTACGGTCTTTTCGGCGACGGAAAAAGAGGAGGCAGGCGGAGGACTGGAGCTCTGGGCCATTTTGATTCCAGGTGCGGGTGGCCAGGGCATGCTCCTTAAGGGCCTCTCTCCAGGATGGGGGCTCCACATGGGGCTGACTGGGCCAGTTGGGATGTCGGCACTCAGGGCAGCCTAGGCAGAGTTGTCTCCAGCGGGTGTTATCAAGAGAGAGGACGAGCTCCCGCCAGGCACGGCACACCTGGCAGCAGCGGCCCAGGTCAGGGAGAGGGAGGTAGGCCAAAATAACCCTCCACAGCTCCACGGGGAGGCTGCCCACCTCCATGGCAGCAGAGACGCCGGCTGGGGAGCACCGCGACGAGAGGGGCCCCTGGAAACAGTCAGTCACACGCACGCGCAGTTAAGGCAACAGAAAAACCCGCTAGCGCCAACCGTTACACAACAACAACAAAAGATGACGCCGTGGATTCTGGAACGTCATTACACGTTTTTTTTAAATTCACCTCACTAAAATCTCCTCGCGAGTCTGCACCATTACGTTTAAAGTTTTCTAATGGCGGTTAGCAACCGTTAACCGTTAATTGCGCACGAACTAACGTTACGCTTACATCACCAGACACACGAGAGCATCGTATCCGTAAAAAATAAATAAAAAAGCCTTACCCTTTTTACCACACTGCCATAGTTAGATGAATTAACACATCGGTTCGATGTTCAGAGAAGAGCTATTTATCGACCTGTCAAGCTATCGATCTATTTTTCGGGCCTTACATGTCTGCGATAGCGACTTTTTCCTCACTGCTTCCAGAGTTCATAACAATCCATGGCAGATGTGCCATCGAAATGGAGTTCAATTGCTTCCAGTTTACGGCAAGAGACCACGAAACAAACAGAGAGCTGGTCCGTCTTCCGCTTCCCATGAGTGGGCGTTAACCTGGTGGAAGCGGACCGCTGTTAACATTGTTGTTAACCAGTTAAAATCCAATGTAACTTTAATAATGTGGTTCGGTCCAACCGCATGTTGCCCCTCACATCTCTTGTCTCCAGGTCACACCCCGATAAAGTACGGTGCCTTTTCTCAATACTGCATACATTTGGGACTCATTTCCCCCCATTGTTTTGTTGTTTTAAGATCAGTTCAAGCCTCAGTTTGGAGGAAAATATTGTTGTGTCACACTGCGGTGTCAAATAATTATTAGCCAACAATGGGAAATAATAAACTATATAAGATGTATATACCCATGATGATTATTGTAGTGGGGGAAAATGCATTCAGGGATAAGGTTCTGTGAACATGAAGCAAACTATATTATGTTGTGTTATTCCATGTTTAAGTTTACAGGCTTACAGTATATTATTTTATGTTCATGTACGTTAATCCTCATGCATTCACACTCTGGTTGTCTCACACTAGTTGTTATTCAGTGTGCCATGAGCTACGCACAGTCTAAGACCAAGGCTGTCTCCTAGAGAGTAGGGCATCAGATGTGTTATACTGCTTATCAGACATTAGATGTCACCAATAGACACTTTAGGGGAAAGAGGCATATAATAGAGTCATTTTCTTTGTTTTACTTAGTTGATTCTCGAGAGAACACGGTTTTCTTGTATCCTGTGTTGATAAAGAAATCTTACAGGTGGAGTGAAACGGTCAATTCTCTTTGCTTTCTGTGAGTCTGTGTCACCATTCTGGGTACCTTCAGTGGGAGTTTGTGGTCTCTCACTATAGTCAGATAGTGAAAAGTTTATGTCAGATAGACATTGTTTGAGGTGGATTGAGACAAGAAAAATTAAACCATAACATTATTTATTTTAATTTCTACAGTGGGTATGGAAAGTATTCAGACCCCTTTAAATTTTCACTCTTAATCATTGCAGCCATTTGCTAAAATCAAAAAAGTTCATTTTATTTCTCATTAATGTACACTCAGCACCCCATCTTGACAGAAAAAAAACAAATGTAGAAATTTTTGCAAATTTATTAAAAAAGAAAAACTGAAACATCACATGGTCATAAGTATTCAGACCCTTTGCTCAGTATTGACTAGAAGCACCCTTTTGAGCTACTACAGCCATGAGTCTTCTTGGGAATGATCCAACAAGTTTTTCACACCTGGATTTGGGGATCCTCTGCCATTCTTCCTTGCAGATCCTCTCCAGTTCTGTCAGGTTGGATGGTGAACGTTGGTGGATAGCCATTTTCAGATCTCTCCAGAGATGCTCAATTGGGTTTAAGTCAGGGCTCTGGCTGGGCCAGTCAAGAATGGTCACAGAGTTGTTCCGAAGCCACTCCTTTGTTATTTTAGCTGTGTGCTTAGGGTTATTGTCTTGTTGGAAGGTGGACCTTCGGCCCAGTCTGAGGTCCTGAGCACTCTGGAAGAGGTTTTATTCCAGGATATCTCTGTACTTGGCCGCATTCATCTTTCCTTCAATTGCAACCAGTCGTCCTGTCCCTGCACTTGAAAAACATCCCCATAGCCTGATGCTGCCACCACCATGTTTCACTGTTGGGATTGTATTGGGCAGGTGATGAGCAGTGCCTGGTTTTCTCCACTCATACCGCTTAGAATTAACACCAAAAAGTTCAATCTTGGTCTCATCAGAGCAGAGAATCTTATTTCTCATAGTCTGGGAGTCCTTCATGTGTTTTTTGGCAAACTCTATGCGAGCTTTCATATGTCTTGCACTGAGGAGAGGCTTCCGTCGGGCCACTCTGCCATAAAGCCCCGACTGGTGGAGGGCTGCAGTGATAGTTGACTTTGTTGAACTTTCTCCCATCTCCCTACTGCATCTCTGGAGCTCAGCCACAGTGATCTTTGGGTTCTTCTTTACCTCTCTCACCAAGGCTCTTCTCCCACGATTGCTCAGTTTGGCTGGACGGCCAGTTCTAGGAAGAGTTCTGGTCGTCCCAAACTTCTTCCATTTAAGGATTATGGAGGCCACTGTGCTCTTAGGAACCTTGAGTGCTGCAGAAATTCTTTTGTAACCTTGGCCAGATCTGTGCCTTGCCACAATTCTGTCTCTGAGCTCCTTTGGCAGTTCCTTCGACCTCATGATTCTCATTTGCTCTGACATGCACTGTGAGCTGTAAGGTCTTATATAGACAGGTGTGTGCCTTTCCTAAGTCAAGTCCAATCAGTTTAATTAAACACAGCTAGACTCCAATGAAGGAGCAGGACCATCTCAAGGAGGATCAGAAGAAATGGACAGCATGTGAGTTAAATATGAGTGTCACAGCAAAGGGTCTGAATACTTATGACCATGTGATATTTCAGTTTTTCTTTTTTAATAAATTTGCAAAAAATTCTACATTTCGTTTTTTTTCTGTCAAGATGGGGTGCTGAGTGTACATTAATGAGAAATAAAATGAACTTTTTTGATTTTAGCAAATGGCTGCAATGAAACAGAGTGAAAATTTTAAAGGGGTCTGAATACTTTCCGTACCCACTGTACATGTAGTTTAGTTTTTGTCAAGCTGCTCAAATATTTACACACCATTCTTATTTGAATATTGCATATTGTGTATATACTCATTTATAGTCTTATATTTTCTATTTTATTTTTTGATATCTTGTTGTACCTCCACTTCTATACTCTTTCTTTTGCACTACATTGCCCTATGCTGCTGTGTCAATTTTGAATTTCTCCTAAGGGGGATCAATAAAGGAACACCTTATCTTATCTGATATTGCATGCATTATTATATATTAAACAATGGTACGTGTCATAGCACAATAACAGTGGGACATAAGTCATCACAAATCTGTTGTGACAGACAAAGAAAAACTTAAAATAACACATTTTAAAGTATGCACGCTTCCCCTGTGCTCCTCTTTTGACGTGCTTAATGAGCCAATAGGTGCAGTTTTAATTCAGCTGCCCCTCCGCAAAAAAATGAACATAGTATAGTTGATTCGGTTATCAACACCAGGAAGTGACTGTAATGTCATACATAACAAGGTTTGGTCCCAAAAGCACTCAGAGACAGAACTGTAAGATAAAAGTTTACTAGTGCAAGAGCCAGAAGCAGACAGGCAAGAAAAAAACAGGCAAACATATCCAAAAGGAGTAAAGGCGGGCAAGGGTCCAACACAAAACAACAGGCTGCAGTTCTTAACAGAAAAAACTGGCAAGCAGTGAAAAAGACTGATAGGAAATATAGGGGGTTGACCGATTATAACGATTATAAGTTAATGATGAGGAATGGATATGCAAGAGGGCGTGGGAATGGTGGGAACACTGGGTTACTGTAGGACTGATGGGAGCGGCTGGAGAGTTTGGGCTGGGAAAGGAGGATGGTGTTGTGACATGTATTTTACCAGGTGCGTTGATCTTTACAAACTATTCTCTTCTGTCAACACCAAAGAACTCCCAAAATCTCTCTGTCTATAATAGGATTGGTTTGTGCTTGTGACATTGTCAGAGACATACAGGTTTATGGTATTATCTGAAGGTAAATCTTCATAATGCACAGCTGAGCAATGCACATAACATTTACAAAGCAACAACCTCTATATAGTAATTAACTGATATGTTAATGAGGTAATATCCCACAGCTGCAGGAGAAGGTAGCAACTTTAAAATGACCTGTTTTATTTGGTACCATTGGAAATTCTGACACTTAATTAAAAATTAATAATAGGGATAAAGTTCATACAGTGCTCGGATGCACAAATTAATTTCTAAAAATGGAGATGCTCGTAGTCCAAGTTAAAGCACTTTCACCCTTAGAGCACACAGCATCAATGGTATGACTGATTCCCTCTCAACTATTCCCACTCTACCTTTTTATTAAACAATACATAATTGCCAAATACAGCAGAGTTTCTCTAGAATCTGCAGTTTACTCAAACATCTGCTGAGCAGCCTTTTGCCAGAATCAACAGCACTGATGGAGTTTGCCTTGGGCCAGGGACAGATGTTTTTTTTGGATTGCACTTTTGGTGATTAGATACAGCTGTGTGTATTGTAATGTTGCAATAAAATACAATGTCACTAATGTCAGCTTCCAGTGAAGGGGTGCTGTTTAACCAAAGGATCAGTGATTGTAGTCCGGATGGTGTGCACCTTTGTCCAAGAGGTGGCGATGTCCTTTCACTGAGAATGTAATCTGATCCTGTAAGCATGCTTTCCTTTAAGACACAAGAAACACTGTTTGAAATGTTGTCAAAATCCTATTTTCAGCAAACACGTCATGTTTTTTGTCCATAACAAACAGTCAAAAAAAAAAACAAAACTCCCAAACAGTGAGAATGTTTATCAGAAGAGAGTGGAGAGGATAATCAATGACACAATGTTTATGTCTCTATGATGCAGGGATGAAATAGTAGGTACACAGCAGTGTTTAGTGGGATAGTTTTCTTACAGACAGACCTTTTTTAAAAAATTATTTATCTGAAAACAGCATTAGTTAATTTGTATGTCATTTCAATAGACAGATATTTTCCAACCTCTCTGTGTGATAATTGTGGAGTCCAATATGAAAATGTCATGTTTCATGCAATGCCAAATTAAATTGGATGCCATTTACATCCAATTTTTCATCATTATTATGTGGTTTACACAAGAGAGACTAGCTGTAGCATATTACATTTAAAGATAAAAAAATGTGACACCACTGCACATTAATGGTCTGTATTATTTTATATTTATTATTATCTTTATTACTCCTTCTACAAGTATTTTGATAAAATCTTGGCTCGAAACTGTGAATTCTGTTGCTTCATCCTCCCTGTACGCTACGAGCTAATGAGAAATTACACTGAGAAGAGAAAAGAGAAGTACAGATTTATAAAAATAAATACAGAGAGAGATGAACAGATTTCTGGTTTATAATGTCACATTTTATTCACAATCGTCATATTTTAGATGAAAGCGGGCATGTATGTTTTTTAAGAAAGGTGTACAAAGGTGTAAGAAAGGTTTTAGATTTTTTTGTTGTGCATTTAATCACAGATTTCCATTATATATCCTGCTGCACATTTGAGGTATAAGTATTTTAATTCCATACAAAAAAACTCTTCTTATGTAAGCAGACATATTACTTGTACATATAGTTCAGAATAAAGGTTTCTGCCGCCTTGTCTCTTTGCCACTAAGAATATGTTGAGCTTAAATTGTCTATACCCAGCTTTTGTATAGACAATTTAAGCTCAACTTTTTCCAGTTTAGCCAGCTGCCACACAAATCTTTCTCATCACGCAAATTAATCAGTGCAGTCCACGCTTCTACTTTGAACTTTGAATCAGTGGTGATGAATATATGATTCTCTAGAAGGTCCTTCTTCTTCCATCCGAGCCAAATCTGTGAAGGTTTATTCTTCAAGGTGCCTGCCTACAAAGATAAAATGTACATATGTTATTGGTTGAGCAATCTTACTTCACTTACACACATACTGTATTGAATATGGAATGGATGAATAGATGTTTGGAATTAAACACTGTGGCTTGAAGTGGAATGTGATTTCAAATTATTGTTTATCCAATTTAGGGTAAATGTTATGAATTAGACTGAGACTAATGTGTCTGGAACTGGCATCTCTAGTTTTAAACAAAAGGTTAGTCACATTCATTCAGTCAGTTAATGACTAATGGTAAACTTGTTTCCTGGAAAGTTCCATGCAAACATACTTTCCTATAAACACAACAAATAAATATTGATACGACTGTCATAAAATAACAAGCGTTGCCTTTCAGTCGGCACTAAAGTTATAAAATCCCCTCACATAGAAGACTCTTCCTCAGACTGTTCAGTTATATTGCTTCCGAGTGCTTATCCTGAACATGAAGAATTCAAAATCTTCTTCACAAAGAATCTGTTCTCACGCTAATCTATTCACTCATATAAGAAAATACAGTGAAGATGAACTTACACAACCAGGTTCTTCTCAAACACCCTTTTGACCCAAGGAGCTTTGGGGTCCAGACAAATCTTTCTCCCATCCGATTTAAGAGTGGCACTGCAGGATCAAAGACAGGTCCGAGACATTAGTCACAGCAACATATCCGGTAAGTGTTTTGTGAGTACAAATTACAAGAACAACTGTTGAGCTTTGCACCCAGGGCTTACATTATCTCAATATTGTTGCAGTGGGAGCTGACAGGGTTCACCTCCACCTGTCCTATGTAACGCCCTATGGGCTTTTTCTCTGTGGTGATGCATCGGCATCGATTCACTTCTTGAGGCCCAAAACTGAAACCTGAAGTGGTAACAGATCAGAAAAGGATATCAATATCTGGACAGAAGCAAGGCATAGTGCAAACCACACACAGGCACTTGCGGACATTACTAACAGAATATGTCCTTAAATGGAAATTGTCAAGACAAGACAAGACAGTATTTTACAAACACACACACATATATATATATTTAACATAATATTTTAACAGTAATTGACAGATTAGACTTACCTTCAGGAATAGTCAAGAAAACCATGAGCGCTACAATAGTGATGACAGACATAACTGCTCTGAAGCTGAAGTCTGGGATTCAGTAATCTTTAAGACTGGTGTTAGTCGTTGTCTGCAGGCAATCATATAAAGCTTTGCTCTTCCCCCAACTGCTGCAAAATATGATGCAAGTCCACTATGTTAACCACTTTCTCATCTATCCCTCCCTCTCTTTCCAAGGAATTTAGTCTTTTTTTTAACAACAGTTCAGAAAACAAAAGAGTTTTGGGACTAAAGTGTATTTACTACTGCTCTATAATAAACAATTCTAAATAATTTTCTTCATGTTTAATTTGTTTGTTGTTTTTTTTTATTACTTATCTCACTGTAATAGAGGTCTAGTTAGCAAGCCCGGGAGACATTTTGAACACTTTTTTTGGTGAAATCATTTTCTGGTAAAGGGTTCTAGGATTCATGATTCACTTTTAACACGATTTTCTTGAATTTGGATATCTGTGCCAAAATAAAATGACTAGGCATTTTGAAATATGCTGTTTAATTTGTAACCTCATAAAGCCTTGCACACAACTGAGCAGATTCACTTCTATCCTCCCTCAAACAAATCACAGGAGTTTGCAGTAATAGAAAAATGTACTTCTGGCAAGCTTGTCCCAGCATGACTCTTAACGTCAGAGGGAGACGGTTAAACACATGTGGAATGTAAACTGCAGATAGATACCCCAACTTAAATTGTGCGAGGGGAAAAAGTCTTCAAACCCTCCTTTTGGCTATTTGTCAATCCAAAATGATTTCCTGTAATTCTCCAGAGGCTGACTTACTGTCGGTTTCTTGGTGGCAGGCTCTCACTTCCTCATATGTATATCATAAATAATAACCACAGTCCAACCAGTCTAACTGAAACAAATTGTTATATGACAGTGGAGAACTTGTAAAGCTCAAGCAGCTTAACTCTCAAACAAAAGATTGGGTGCCGACTAGTTTGTGATTCATTCCTGGTTTTCCCAGCTCCTGTTGTTATTCTCAAGTCCTTTGTATGTGGTATCATTGTGTATTTATTATCTGCATGTGCCTGTTTGGTTAGTAAACCGTGCCTTAAGATAAGACATTGATAGTGAAGGAGTCAGGCAGAATGCCAGTCAAGACAGAGCAACCTTTCTTTAAATCTGCACTATTATATACCACACAATACTCTTCCATATATGTCATGCTACGGAGTGCTATGCAATACCTTAATGGTTTTGCACTGTTATGCTAAGTTATACCAATGCTGGACAAGTGCGTGGCCAGACGTTGCAAACATTGGAGGCGTAGCCCAAACTTTGGGAAGACGTGAGGGCAGACTCCCCTAGGGAGAATATTTTCCTATGTACAGCTATATAAGGGGGGGGGACACGATCATGCTGTAGAGCCTACATCCTTTTTTGTTTTGTGGAGTTTTATTAATATTTGTCATGTTGAGGATGACTAATTTTGACTCCTACCTACCACATAAAAAAAGGCAGAAAGTTACATAACATAGGTATGGTAGGAGTACACAGGATGAATGTTTAGCTTACAAATCTGCCACATGTGAATCCATTCCATAAGACTGTAATAATCAGTAATAGAACTTTTGCTCTTTTGATTTTACGTTCGGGCCAGAGACTGAGGGGAAATGACACAAAGGTGAAGATATTTTACAGGCCTAAAAGATTAGGCTTTTGAGAAAACATAAGAGGCTGGAGCCCGGGAAGCCACTCCCTTCTCTGCCTCTGATGCTAATAGATAAGATAGACTTTATTGATCCAACACTGTGGGACAACACTAGGAATTCCCTTGTTACAGCAGCACCAGATAGAAAAACATTAAATACACATTAAATAACAAAATGAGTAAACTACAAGAAATAAAGAATAAAAAAATAGAATTAGGGTTGTATGTACACTATATTACGTTTTTTATACAGATGTGATTTAAATAGAATATTGCACAGGTAACAGCAGGAGGTAGTTGCATATTGTAAAAATAAATTAATTTATTTTACTGGACAAAAAAAATACATATATATTTAGCATCAAGGCAATATATGCCACAGCTTTGATTTAGTCAGCCCAAAGCCAGTGCTAGAGCAGTCACAATGAAATCTTCTTCAGGCACTTCTCAATTTCTTTGCACTTGGCTTTAAGCCCACTTGTGCTAAGGTAGATGTGCTGCTGCTGATACTGATAATATTGTCAGACAAAGTGCAATGAGGCTGATGGTTTTGTAGATAGTTAGTACTAGACAAATTTCAACTTTGACTTGATGAGAGCCCTTATTATGAAAGCTATTACAATTCACCCTGAGGGGAATATGAATGTCTGTACTGAATTATATGATAATCCATCAAATAGTTGTCAAGACATTTCACTCTCTGAAAAGTCAGTGGTCACTGGAGTCAGTAGGGTACATTGTCTGGGAACCGAGGATGTGCCAAGTTATCTAATAGATGATGTTCTATTGAAAAATAAAAAAATGTACCCACTGGTGGGGCTAGAGAAAATGTCAGGGAATTGTCAAGGAGTCTTCATCCTCTGGAGACCTAAACTAAAGTGAATGGGAACTGACATTGCTATCTCTTTACTGTAATCCCTCTTAGTTTTAAAGTAAAGTGCTATTACCGTAAATGGTAAACCATAATCACGATGCAGTGCCACTTCAGTTTAGTCTGACTTTGAATATTTACCACAGTTAAGTGGTTTTGTACTTTGTATGAAAGTTTTGGCTAAGGTCAAGAGGAAGTTTTGGAATATCCAAACATCTTTGTATCACACTTTCAAAGAAGATTGTATCTTACTTCCTCTTGTGAGCCCATAAAGCTACAGAGCTTGTTTCCTCTATTGTCTGTGACCCTGTTCAAAAAAATGACATGTTGCGATTCAGATAAAGGAATGAAAGTGATGTGTCTTTGTATGTACATGAAAAATATAAAATGCCATAAATACAAGAATCCTAAACACTGTCTCTTCCCCATATTTTTTTATATAGTGAATTTTTGTTTGAATACTTTTCTATTTATATTTGGGTAAATTTGGGGGAAAACCAATAGATAACAATCATCACATGTTTCCTAACTTATGCAAGTCACATGCCATCATGCCGACATCATGCTATTTTCACCCATCTCACCACATACATTGGTGACCATGACAGTGATGCAAAGTGAAATCAAAAACTTTCCAATGATGTTCATCACATGCTTTCAGTACAGTCAAAAAAGAAATAAGGACATGATTCTAGATATGAACTGGTCATACCGTCTGGCCTGTCTGAGATTTAGCTGTTCAATAAATAAATAACTAAAACTAAAAACCTTACAGATGTACTTTGCCTCCTGTCCAAAGGCTTCCATTCATCATGTATTAAGTTTGAGTGGGGCAATAGCTGAAGAATTCATGTGACAAAGCCACAAGATTGCCCCCCCCCCGTGTAGAAGTTACCCCATACTTCCTTCTGTTTTGTGAAAGTGGCTGGAGTGACGTAATAACTGCAAGAAGATATGTCTGAGCATGTTGTTGTGGTTGTGTTAGGCTTGAACCTAATGAAACTTTTGGCACATCGCCTGCTGTCAGAATGTCAGACACATGAGCCAGCAAATACACTGCTGGTTGTCATCATTATCTTGCAATAATGTGCTTTTGATTAATGAGGCATGAATGCAGTTGATAAAAGAAGTATGAAGGTTTTCCTTTGTGATTATATCAAATACTCATTTAATATGATATTCACATTTGTTTGTTATTTATTTGTGCACTGTACACTGGAAAGGAGATGAAAATAACATTTTGATATCAGACAGCATGTCACTCTCTGTCTCGATCTAAAACACAGTATTCACCTATAGATGGACTTTATCAGTTAGATAGCTGACTTTCCATTATTGAACTTGAACAGCAATAAACATGGCATGCAAAACATGTAGCAGATGTATGTACGTGATATGAGTATGTGAGATACATGCCAACTCAAAGTTCATGAATGGACTCTTGGTACAAATGACCTTGAAGGTGACACTTAAGATGACAAAACCTGAGGGTTACATCCGTCAGCAACTCATTCACAGATTGCATATAATTGTTCATTTTATCGCATGCAATCAGTGAATCAGTTGTCTGTTGATCAATAGCTAATCTGTGAGTTTGGTGTGAGCAATAGTTAAATCCAGTACCAACAGCAATGTCTAATTAACAAAGAATTTATCTAAAGCATTCATGTCACATCAACAAATGTATTAGTTTTTTAGTCACCGTGTTTTTCCGAAACGATAATTTGTATCAATGACCCATACTTCCCCTTGACAAAGTTTAGTCAAATCCCTCACTGGGTAAATTCCCACACTGAGTTGCCGACAGTCCCAGCTTGCGCAACCTTCCTGAGCCAGGGAGGTGATTCATCTCCAGGAGCTATAAAGGGAGTGACTCTCCTCTTCAGCACTAGATTCAAACAGCAGAGCGAGGCAAGGCTGAACCAAGAAAAGGAAAAGTAGAGAAGGAACTAAGCAAAAGAAGAAGCAGAAACTTTACTTTTACACAGTGCATCAGGCTTTATTAGACAGCTTTCTGAAGGACAGTCCTATCCTTTAGTGTTAATTGTTGCAGAATTTGTAAAAGGCAAAATGATGAGCAGTAAAGTCTTCGCCACATCTATTGTGGTGCTCCTGGCGTTCCTGGCCATCAGTGAAGGTAAGGTTTTGTTATTCAATAAGTGAACGTAACAGTATTGTTGCACTTGCAACTGTCACTACTGTGCACCTTTTTCTCAATGCATAAAGAGTTATCAATACACACTGTTGCAAATTGTGACCATATGTGTCTCCTAACAGGGATGAGTCTGAGAAGCCTGGGAGTGGAGCTGCACTGTCGCTGCATCCAAACAGAGAGCAAACCCATCGGCCGCCACATTGGGAAGGTGGAGCTGATTCCTGCTAACTCCCATTGCGAGGAGACTGAGATCATGTAAGACCTAGTTTCAAAGGCTTCATCCCATCTAGATAGCAATGGTGTTGGTAATTTGATATTTTGTCGTAGTCACATGTTGACTTTGTGAATTTGTTCTGACTGCGTGTCTGTTTCTGTGCAGTGCCACTTTGAAAAAGACAGGCCAAGAGGTTTGCCTGGACCCCGAGGCTCCCTGGGTGAAGAAAGTGATTCAGAAGATTCTGTCCAAGTAAGTACAGGTCAATCATACAGTATGAGCACAGTACTGCCGTGATTTAACTGGATATTGAGAGAGAGCGTTCACTTTTGATAGATGAATTAATTTTTCTTTTCTGTTTGTTTTCTCTGCAGCAGAAGACGTTGAACAGATGGAGATGTGTTTCACGAGTCTGAGCTGTTAGACAAAGAAAAGTACCAAGAAGTATTTGAGTTTGATGAAATGATAAAGTCATCACACTTCTCTCATTTCAATACCAGAAGACTGCTTGATGTCATTCTTAATCAACTGTTGTAACTGACAACAGAATTCAACCTCTAAGATTGTTTGTATCAAACACACTATTTATTATTATTATTCTTGTTTTTCGGGCACTCATGTTTGTTACAGTTCTTTAACTTATGTGTTTAACATATTTATTAATGTATTTATGAAATGTACTAGTATCTGGATTAAATAAAGAAGTTCAAATGAAATTGCAAATGGAATTTCTTTGTTGTTCTTTCTTATTAAGTATCTATCTATCTATCTATCTATCTATCTATCTATCTATCTATCTATCTATCTATCTATCTATCTATCTATCTATCTATTTTCTTCTTTGCCGTTGCTTTTAGAATATTCCTTAAATTCATACATAATGAATTATAAATAATCAATAATTATTACAATAAGTAATACAATGACAATAAGTAAAACACAATTTAAGCATGAAAACCTTAACAAAACAGAAATAGAAATCTTACATATACTATGTTAAATACTATATTATAACACAAGAAATAATAATGTCATGCTTTGTCAATACAAGAAATTTTCATGTACGCATCAAGAAGTATGACTGTGTTCTACTTCCTTATGGAAGTTTTACAACATTAGAGGTACACCACATGATGCTGCAGTCAGCAAACTTAGACTGTACTATGGCCTTAGCTCACGTGAGTTACAGTTCACTTTCATTGTCCAACCCCTGCAGATATGATCAACACTATGTTACTGCTGCAACAATATTGTATGGGACCCCTGACAATTTAGTGTTGCACCTTGCTTAAGATTGGGGACTCACAAGAGAAGAAATGCTTGATCCTGGGGTGCCTTGATAACTGACCTGATAGAGCTGCCTGATGTACCAAGGCTGAGTCCTTTTTTTTTGTCTATCTCTTGTGAGTCCCCCATCTTTAAAAAGGTGCAACATTAAATATTCATGAGTCCAACCTGTGGCCCTTTGCTGCATGTCATCCCCTCTTTCTTTTCTTATTTTTTTACATTTTGTAGTCAAAACAATTAATAGCTTCATTGAGAAAATCTGCAGACTAATTGATCATGAAAATTCAGCTCTGCTCCACAACCTCACTTTATAATACACTTTCCTGTTTAAATAATGTCTTTGAGGCGGAATAACCCGAATTAAATCATGAGGGGGATATTCTCAGACTTGACATGAGTTCTCTTTGAACAACTCAAAACTTTTTCAATGCAAACAAAATCATTTTGCATATTCAGCATCTATAGTTCATTTAATCAAACAACACTGAATGTCTCCCATTAATATTGATAAATTCTGCTGTTGTTAGTCATCTATTGGCAATCGTATAATGCCTTGGGTTGAGTCTCATTCAGAGGACTTCCTGACTTGTTGAACAATCAGAGGCAAGGCAGTGGCATGGTGAGGCCATGTGTAGGGCAGCTCTTATCTCAAGCACACTGCACAATGAAAAAACATGAGAATTAACCCTATCAAGAGCTATAGACCCTAAAGGGTAAATGCATATTGTGAAAAAAATTCACAATTTATGAAATTGCCATATTTTAAAGACTTGTAAAATGTAATCAAATAATACTGATGGTACTTATCATGTATATATAATCAACATTTAAAAAAAAAAAATTTAATCTGATCTGATTATTTTGTAATCTGATAACGTAATCCTGATTACATGGAATCAGTTACCCAACACTTATGATACTTTTACTCTGCCAACTTTACTTTTACATGATACTTTTCTCACAAATGTGTTGTCACTGATGCTTCACAACAAACGACTACAATTTTAAGAAAACACGTAATAAACTGAGTTTGGTACTCCTGCTTTGGCCTTGAATTAGTAATAACTGAATAAACGCTTAAATTATCAACTTTTTTTTAGCCACAGAGCCTAGTGTGGTTCTTGTGTGTTTCTTTCCAGAATGGTAGCTACATTAAAGGTACATGTACCTACAGGATGGCACTAGGCCTATTGTTAATATTAACAATAGTAGGTAGTACCTACAACTATTATTATTATTATTATTATTATTATTATTATTATTATTATTATCGTTTGTAACTGGGCTAAGTGAGTGAGGATGCAGGCAAAGGGGCGGGACTGAGCGCACAGCTGGGGGTAGGTGCGGTAGTGCGGCGTCAGATGCGCGCAGAGAGACGACCCTCAGCCCTGTACGGACACGCACCAGAGACACCGGAATGCACACAAAATGCTGCGTCCACGAGCTGTGACAAGCTGCTGCATGTGAAGAAAATAAAGACACAGCAAAACGACCACGCCGGAAGCTTTCTCGTCCAGATTTAGGCACTCGCGCAGGAAGCGTATTTGCCGCAGAAATCAACCCACCAGAGCTCCCGCCGATGCGCTTCAGCTGTGCATGAATCCCTCAGTTTGGCTTGCAGGTCCAGGACAAAACCGGGCGGCGTTGACGACTGTGTGTGGTGGATACTACTGTTTGTGAGTGCACCTTATCCGCGTCTCTGCACAACCCCCTTTTGGCACCTCCTTCAGGATGGCGTTAACAATCTGCACGAGATTTACCGACGAATATCAGCTGTTCGAGGAGCTGGGGAAGTAAGGAAGCATATTTTTTTTTATCATCTGGCATCATCTCTGTATGAAATATCAGCCTGTTATGTAATAGGCCGCCTTGGCTTAGGGACGGATTCCGGGCTCTGTGTGTCTGTGCGTCTTGTGTGTGTGTGTGTGTACGTGTGTGTGAGTGAGTGTGAGTGTGTGCGCTGCTGATAGTGTAGCCATGAAACCTTTGATGCGGGGGGCTAAATACGCTATCATGTAAGATCCAGGCCTGTGCACCATCTTATTGTTAAATCCCACATCTGAAGCCCTGCCTACGTTTTGTGCTTGCGAAAGAGAAGATGTCGAAACGAGGGTGTCGTCATTTTGCCTCCATCCTGTGGAGCCCACTGATGTTGCATTTCGATCTTTTGGGTGCCACGGAAGGGTGAGGAGCCCCCATGTTGTAAACTGGGGTGTGTTAAATGTTGAGATTTGGTAACCCACCACCACCCCTCCTCAGATCCTCTACCTCCTCCTCCCGCGTGACAAAAATACACACTCGGTAATGCGACAGCAGACCATGTAGTTGGCTATGACACATTCCCCAGCCAAGTACCGAGCTGCGGTCAATTATCAGACACAGGCAGGGAATTCCTCACCCCTGAGAGAGAGAGAGAGAGAGAGAGAGAGAGAGATCCACGTACCAATGAGTGTGTTTGTGGTCATGCCCTACCTGACCTGCAGTCTGCCCAGTACCCCGTGGTCAGTGTACTCAGTCCCAGATGTCTGCATCCTGGGTTCACTTTCAGCCAAAGCGGAAATAGAGAGAGAGAGAGAGAGAGAGAGAGAGAGAAATGTGCCCCCAGCGTCCCCCACTTCGCATCCTATCACCCTTACTTATGGAAGTATTTGTAGTAGGCTATGTGAGGAAGAGGAAATCTCCTCTACAGCCTCAGCCCCCTGCATGTGTCATTAATAATGCAGCCATATTGCTTTTATAGTACCTTTTAACTCACCTGATCTCTTTACTATGTGCAGCACCCTTTTCCCCCAGACCAGCACCCAGCAGACCAGCTGGTACTGATGAAATGAAAATACCACAATGGTTTTGACCAAATACCTGGCCATTGCTAACGTTTCAAGTATCCAGAAATGATTATTTCTTGAGATATTTACACAATGCTGAAATTATTATAATGGTTAGTGAAATAATAATATACACAGATACATTCAGAAAGCTGTCACCAAAATATTCAGCCGTTCAAGGACAATACAATACTTGTGTGTTTGTACTTTTGGATTTTGTATATTTCCAACCAGTCCGTTCTGTAGGAAAATGAAATCAGATATCCATGAAACTTGCTAAAGATCCAGTCTAACATTTGAACTAAACCAACAATTCTAAAACAATATCCTGAAATCATTGTAGTTCTCTATTGTATTTTTTAGCTTTTTTCACCCTTTGGTTACCCATAAACCCCTTCTCTGCATCCCTACACCAAAATGTATTCATCTTTGTGAAGCATTTTTACGTTATGACATTAGAGCTCGACTGATATGGGATTTATGAGACTGATACTGATTTAGTGATACTGATTCTCTGAGAGAAATTCACTGATTACCGATATGGCACTGGGCCAAAATAGACCTTTTCTATGTGGATTCTGCACTGATTTAACATCAATATGACTATGCAAAGGTACTTAGAAGGCTGCTTTCTTAAACAAATAACTTAAGTTAAATATCATGTTAATAATTCCCTCCTGTTAAACTTATACTTTGTCACCGCTGATTAAAAGCTTTGAAGCTTTATTTATACTTCTGCGTCAAAACGACACCGTAGGTAGGCGTAGCCTCATTCCCCCCCGAGAAATGCAACTACATGTTGCAGCTGCAACGCAATAACTGTGATTGGTCCACTTGGTGTGTGTGTGTGCATCGACTAAGAATGGGAAGCGACATGCAAAACCCAGATGAGTTAATAATACTGTTTGAGAATCCCTCTTCAAACATACACACAAATTCCCAGACAAGTGTGTCCTCATACACACACAAACACACACCTACACACAGAGCCAAGCAAAGAATTCATGTACGGTGTAGAATAAGGAGACTTTGAACAAACACAGAATCTTCCTCATCATCAGTTGGTTTGTCTGCTTACTTTGAACCTTGTTCCAGCTAGCTTGCCTTTACTTAACTTTCAAATACAAAAGTGCAGGTCATTTTACGAGACATTCACATATGCACTTTACAGCGCCATACTACCCAACTATGCAGGATAGTCAAGTAAAAATGCTTATGTAACATGTAATGCTATCATCATTTCCTTCGCCAAATCCCCTATAAATTAGAGGTAAGCTTTAGTGGCAAGCTGCTCACTCCAAAGGATGTTAGATAACATGTCTATGGTACACATCACTGTATGCTCAACAGTGATTACATGGGCACAAAGCTTCAGTTATTTCTCATATTGTAACACTGATTTAACCAAATAATATAACATTGTGCAGTGATATCACGCCACAGTTGTCAGTCATTAGAAGTAGCAAGTGAAAGAACAGGGTTCATTTGAGGTAATGAGTCAATTTTCTGCTTTGAGTCTCCACTGTCTGCATCCAAGTGCTTCTGTTTGTGATAGCTTTGATGCTGTCTGAATATCTCTGATGTTGTCTGGAGCTAGACAGGATGAGAACAGATTTCTATTTAAAAGAAAAGGCGTACACAGACAGAGATGGAGGCTGAATAGCAAAGCGGCCTCCATGGCTGCAGAGCTGAGGCTCCATGGCTGCGTTTAGAGATGAGAGATGCAGCACTCTGCTCTTCTCCTCCCTCAAATATAGCTGACCTAGTTTTTTGATCTTCATACATGTGCCTGGAACACCAGAACAACACATGGCTTAAACAATAGAAGGCTGGTAGGCACGTTCGTTGGTGTTAATGGTCTTGTGTAGTGATAAGGACAGTTTGTACTGTAGGTATGGGGGTGTGAGTGTGTTTGTGTGAGTAGCTGCAAAGATATTGCATCAATGCTTTTGTGCAATTTAATGATGAAATGTGACTGTAAAACCTCTATTTTAGCACAGCCATGTTTGTTATTACTCGCCTAAGACATCCGAGGGCTCTTTCATAAAGCAAAAGTATCAGTTAAATCATTGTTATTTCAGTAAATCTGCCTTATTTTCAGGAAATAATTTTTCATAAACCAAGTTACTATGGAAACGTATCCCTTCAGACTAGCTTGATTCCTCCAGTAAAGCTAGTTTTGAGGCTTATCTTCATATCTATCTCTAAATCAATCAATCTGAAGAACCTGTTTCACTTTCTCCATCCAGGTTGTTACACTCTGCCCTGCTTTTCTAGGCCCTCTGATTGCATATCAGCTGGTATGGATCACACATGTACTTTTTTGAATACATCAGTAAGTCTTTCTATTTGTGTGTTCATTTCAGGGGTGCATTCTCTGTGGTCAGGAGGTGCATTAAGATCTCATCTGGACAGGAATATGCCGCCAAAATCATCAACACTAAGAAGCTTTCTGCCAGAGGTAGGAAACACAAACAACATGCACAGAACACACACACACACACACACACACACACACACACACACACACACACACACACACCACACGAGCAGAAAAAACCATGCCCGAAGTGTCACTAAGTTACGTTTGGATGAGCTGTGAACATTACTGCCCCTGAAACAGACTTTGGGGAGAATAAATGAATGTGTCCCTGTATGTGCATGTGTCACAGTGAAAGCCAGTGGGTGAGAAACAGACAGGCACGCAGGGGGCAGAGACTCATCTGGATTTTGGTTGATTAAGTTTCCTGTGAGGAAAACAGCGAATATGTCGACTAAATACTGTAGCTGTGATTGCCCCCTTGCACTTTTTGTGCTGTGTGGAACTGTGCATGTTCTCCTTCTTTTTTGTGTTATTCATATCTGTCCTTTGGTTTATATGTAAATGTTAGTCACACACAAACCGTGTGTGCGTTTGTGCGCGTGTGCTTCTGCGTGTGTGTGCATGTGCTCCGTATTGATTCAGGGCTCTGGCTGGTCTTGTCGTCCCAGGGGCAGATCTCTTGCGAAGCCGACCCAGTTCTTTCACATCCGTCACTGTAATTGTAGCCGCTGGCCTGGTTGCCTTAGGCTTGGGACACACACATAATCACACACACACTAGCTCTCACACTCATACGTGCACACGCAAGCACACCCATGACCCAGGAAACTGCCAACAGCATATTCGTGATTATTAACCAATGGTGTGTTGCGGCTTTGCTGTTCCTCCTTCTCTTCAGCCAATGGCGTGTTCTGTCACAGCTTGCCGGCCTATGATAACCAATGACTGCAGTCATACCACACAAGGCGTCAGGCTTTTGTAGATGTGAGCTAAGCCATTTAAGCAAAATTTTATTTGTAATAATTTACTGTAAATTGCCTTGGCTGTTGCACTTGTTAAACCGCTTCCTATAGTCTCATTGTGATGATGTTCTTGATTGTGTTGTAGTGTGTGTGTATTAACAAGCAACTTCCTCCCCCTCTTTGCAGTATTTTACCTTTCATTCTTTTGCAGCAGCTCCCAGTCTTCCCTCCTCTTCAGCATCCTCCCTCTCCATGTTGTCTGCTCTTTTGCATTTACTCTCCTTCCCTATTTTGCATTTTCTTTATTCTCCTTCTTTTAAATCTCTCTTCTTTTTGATTTACAAGTCACTGTCATATTTCTCACTAAGTACTTCTACCCCCCCCTCCTGCACACCTTCTCCTCTACTAATACCCCACCATCTATCCCTTCCTTCATTCCTCCATCACTCTGCTTCTTATCTCTTCCTTTTCTTTGTTGTCCTTCATGCTGCATCTCTTTTCTTTGCCACTTTCCTCTCTCCTCCCTCACCAATCCTTTGCTCTTTCTCTTCTGCCCATGTTGACCCTCCCACTTGCTGAGTGCAGTGTTGGTAATAGACACCACGGCAGACGGATCAGTGTCTCACCACTTGCATGCTGGGACAGATTTTACAAAAATACTGCAAAGGGTTATCTCACCGCATATGCATGTGGATTCGTGGGTGTGCGCAAACACACTGTCTATCTCTCTCTCTCATCTCTCACTCTTGCTCTCTGTGTTTGTGTGTATAGAGTTTTACATACTGGGCATGCTAGCGTGTCAGATATGGTCTTACCCTCTTTCCGCGATAAGCCCTGGAATTGCAACTCTGATTCCCTTCTCTCTGGCAGGATCATGACCTCCCCCCAACCCCACTCCATCACTGTGTGTGTATTTGCCTATCCAAGTGCATGCGCGTGTGCAAGTATATATAATTTAAAAGGGTTTAGGGTGGGATTGGTCGCTGGAAAGCAGGAAGATCAAGGCACTGTGTGTGTGTGTTGTGTGTGTGTGTGTGTGTGTGTGTGTGTGTGTGTGTGTGTGTGGTGTGTGTTTGGTGTTTCTGGTTATACATGCACACATGAGGGGTGGGCCTATAGAACCAGTCACAGTCCTGCAATCTGCAATTCTGATTATGCAGCATTTCATTAAGAGCAGCAGATGAGTCAGTGAATGAGAGGAAGCAGTAGAGAGAGAGAGAAAGAGGAAGAAAAGGATAGGAAGCAGAGGGAGGAAGACAGATAATCAGAGTAAGAAACAACGTAAAGTCAACATTAAAGTGTGCGCGTGTGTTTGTGTATGCAGTATCCCTCACAGCAGTTGAATATTTGTCCTCTCCCTTAGGCGTGCGTCAGTGTCCTGTCACTATGACTGCCTGTCTGCAGTCTTTTGTCACTTTGTATTTGCTTGTGATGTGGTGTGTATGTGTGTATGTAGGCAAACGTGCATGAGCTTGCATGTATATCCGCACTCCCACATCTGTTTGTGTGTGTGCACATGATTGCCCTTGATTGTGTATCCGTGCACTAGTCTCATTCCCTGACTATGTGACCCTTTCAGCTTGTCTTAACAGTTGGATAGGTTTGCACTGTTACACTAAAGATGTTTTGAATTTTAGAAAAGGCCTGCTTTTCTCGCTATGTAAATATTGCATTGCACCGTGGGAGTGACACAGTGATAAGGAGATAGGGTAAAGAAATAGGGGTACACTTACAAGGAGGGAGGAATTAAAACAGCGATTTAACAATATTTGTTTTGACACAGCATCTCTTTCTCCCATGTCTTTTTTTTTCTTATTTGAGTTCTTGTTCTTACATGCCAAATACAATTTAGTCCCATCAGTTTTGCTGAGGCTGTACCATTGTTCCTGGCTTGATGTTGCTCCTGCCCACCAATCTGTAACTGACCCTACTTCATTGTGGAGTTTTTATGTTAAAAGGGATGTTGTTGTTATTTCCATTATTCCGTGTGCAGGTGTCATGGTAACAGAAATGATAGCTGTTGCTGAGGTGTAAGCCAGTCTGCCTCAGTAGTGATATATATATATATATATATATATATATATATATATATATATACACATCAAAATGATACAAATGCATATGTGTGCATGTTTTCTTTTTAATATCGCTCCTCGTGCAGTTTTCCCTCATTAGGCAAGATAGGGATTTGTCTTCCCTCCTGCTTTCCCTTTCCTCTCTTATTGTCTTTTTTCCTGCGTTCCTCCGGTCTCACCGTGACTCTGTTTCACCTCACTTTGAAGTGAAGGGAAGGAGGAGAGAGAGGGGATGTGATTGTGGGAGAGAGAAAGGAGGGGAAGAAAGGAAGGAGAGATCAGTGGGAGGGAGGAGGATCACATGACTCACTGGGTACTTGTAGGCTAAAAATAAATATTGGTCATTCTCTCACTCTCAGTGTCTCTCTTTCTCTCTCTTTCTCTCTCTCTCTCACACACACACACACACACACACACACACACACACACACACACACACACACACACACACATACATACACACACACACACACAGTATTGAAAATATTCCATCATTTGAAAGGAGCCAGGTTTTTGGTTTCAGTCGATGCTCACCTGTCTGGCCAACCAGACTGTTGGTGCACATTGGGAAGAAGAAGCATGAGGCTGAAACTGTAGCCTCTGTGTTTGTGTATCCATGTGTAGGTTTACATGTCAAACAATGTGGGGAATCTATTTATTTTCTGACCATTATTGTAAGAGTTCAACCTACAATGACTTAGGTTTTAGTCATCGTTCTTTTGCTGCTAATTGCTCCACTATGTTCTCCAGTCGCTAACTTTGTTTGTTTGCTGCTGGGCAGGTAGAGTACAATCGGTTTCACAGTTTTTTGTGTATGAAACATCTACTCAAGCCGATGTTGATATAATTTGTGTTCACAATTTGGCTGTTCCCCTTTCTCCTTTTCAAACCCGTAAGCGTAAGATTTCAAAGTAAAGTTACAGTAGTTTCTCTGCAGAAAATGTATCAAATGAGCTCACATTTAATAAGACATCATTTTTGTATAATGTTGTTAAAGACTGTTGAAAAAATATTTAAATCAAGTTCTATATACTAGATTTCTTCCAGGGCTTTTAGCCACATCTTGTGGCCTTCATGAGAAGATTTTGCTCAGCTACCAAGTATTTTGTGAAGTGCCAAGTACACATGATGACAATTGAACCATCTCCATGACAACTGACCAACGTTCATCCACTGATTAAGGCCAAATATGCCTGAAAGCTATGGAAGAAATCTAGTAAGTGAACCTTGAGTTAACAATGAGCTTAATGCCTCGTTCTTATCAACCTTAAAAATACTTTGACAAAGGCTGTCTCAATAAAAAACAACTTTGGCCGATATATACAGTAGAAGAAATAGTATTGGGTTGCAAAGAGCACACTAGCCAGACACCAACCTGGTATAGATTCATTGGTAGCTAATCAGTTACAGCAATATACATCTCTAGAGACTGTTTAGGCTGCCAAAATCTCCAGATAAGACTTTCAACTTTGTTAATAATGTAAGTTAGAATCAAAATTGCAGCTCTTGGATTTTTAAAATCGATTGATTGTTCACCCTGGAAAGAACCTACAGTATGACTTACAAGTGTAATGGACTCTGTAGAAAGCGAGGGTGTTCTTAATTATAGAGAACTGCATCTTCCTCTTTTCCTCTCCGCCTCTGTCCTTTTCAAGCCCTTTTTTTTATCTGTTTGATTTACCTTTTCTCCCTAACAACTCTCTCCTCCCTGTCCTCCCCCTCGTCCTCCTCCTCTTGCTCTTGCTCTTCCTCTTGCTCTTAAAGTGAAACCACAGTCTCAGTCTCTGTGTTTCATGGTGAGTCTGGTCTCCCTCCTCAAATGCTTACAATTCATAGCGTTACACTCTTCATCAATGAACCAAGAAACAGCTGTGAAACAGAGTGATAGAAAACGTATTGATTGATAGACAGATACTAATGACAAATAAGAAAATGCATTGATTGCTTGTTTGTCTGTGCATGTGCCTTATAAATACTATAATACTGGAGAATGCGGGAGGAACTGAAATCCACATTAAAAGACTTCTGTTTCATTTATAATTCAAACTGATTGAGATGGATTGATGGGATATAGCACTGTTGCCATAAAGTTGCAGATTTT